TTGACATTTTGCACTTGAAGCAATGACGACAGAGGCTATTAAATATTGAGTTTTGCTTTGTGTGTGGTGTGTGTGTGTGTGTGTGTCTGTGTGAGAAATTTGTTAAAATGTTTGCGTTATGGTAACTTATTCGGGTTTATAGTGCATTTGTGTGCAAAATATAGTTCTGTGACATTTTCAGCCAGCTGCCAGCATAACTGTCCTGATTTGGTTATTTAAAATAATTTCTAGTATTCTTGAGAATTATTATGAATAATAAAATAGATTAAAATTCATTTGTTCAAGTATTTTGACCATGGGTGACTAGAATGGTATTTGAGGACAAATTTTATCTATAATTAGCCTTTTTGAGATGTTTTATGACTACAGTAGAGTCCATTTGTGTTTGAGTAAAGCACAGAGCATCACGCCACAGGCAAACTCTCCAATAGAAGTTTCATTCTGAGAGGACCATAAAATCACTCAAGACAAAATAAAAAATGGATGCAGACAATCAAAAAGCAACCTAAAGTGCTCCAGGCCTCGAGCCATGGAGGAGCTTTATATTTCAGCAAGATGCTGCTGTCAAGAGAGCCTGAGCCAAACCTGCATCTGTGTCTTATCACCAAACACGTTGCTGTGTGAACTAACCAGTGGTGCCCCCAAGGGGTGGCCAGGAAAATGCTGCCCCCCCCCCCGAAAAGACCAAAACCATAAATGCATCTTACTTATTCAAGACATAAATATAAAACACAACATAAAATTTTAAAATTAATGAATAAAATAATAATCAGATATTTGTTTCTGCTGCTCACCATTTAAAAAAAGTTTATATCTCCATAGTTTTTTGTGAAGACAGCATCAGGTGAGTTTATATATATATACAAAATTTATTTTTCTGAAATGTTAGTGTTTATCAAATTTGAGTTAAGTGTTTTGGATACATAATGTTTTTTTTTTTTTTTTTAAATAAAAAGGAGCAATGTAAGGACCAATTACATGTGCCAGCACAAAATTTTCTGTCTGGCCACACTTCTCAAAAATTTCTGGAGGCGCCCCTGGAACTGACCTCTGGGGCAATATAATCCGGGGTCCCACAGAACGTTCCGGTTACCGCACCGTCACGTATTCCTTCCTTGCACATGCCGAAGTCTGCCAGCTTACAGTGACCGTCTTTGTCCAGAAGGACGTTGTCCAGTTTTAGGTCCCTGAAAGTCAGAAAGAACCAAATGATTAGATCCTAGTTATATCTCATGATCGTGTAAATTTGTGGTGCTTTTGGGGACAAGAACATTTATGCAGCCGTTACACAACTGGTTTTACCTTTGGGACACATCGAATACAAAACACACACACACACACCCTTGTTTCCACAAGGAACAGAAATTCAAGCCTTCACGACAATAGTAAACAAAAAATGGTGTGTTTATTTGGTGCTGCTTTGTGCTCGTGTTGGCCAGTACTTTGTCATCTGACAGGGAGATTAAAGCTGCTGAGTGTTGGGTCTGGAGTTAAGCTCTGATCTGAGATCAGGTGACCCAGATTCATGCAAAGGTCACAACTGAGAAGACTTGACCTGACGCAAGGCCGAGGATGAATTGCAACACGGGCTGATGAAATAATGGAAAGCTTAATCGATGTGTTTGGATTTAAAGATTTCCTGTTTCAAGTTTTGCGAATCAGGAAGACCCAACAGCTGATTGAGCATCGGTTTGGGTGGATTCATCTGGTTTATTGTTCTCCACTTTGAGCTGATTGTGTAACTCTCGGGTTTTATGGACCACGGTGGGTTTAATCAACCAATCAACACAAACAGCTCAGATTTTAGTCCCCCCCGAAACAGAAGGCACTCTTATCAGATGTTTAACGGAACGAATGCAACTAGATCAAGATGCTGCTCAGCAGGGCATTTTATCCTTTAGGTCAATTTCTGCAACTCTTTCAGAGTGAATATGTTCAGCATGAGCTGCTTTAATACGATCTTCTATCCCACTTTGAATATGAAGATGCTCTAAACATTAATCAAACAGCCTCGTTAGATCTCAAAGTTCGACTTTGAGCCTTCGTCTATGTGAACCTGTGAACTGGGTCACTTGAACACTTTGGGTGAAAAGCAAACAGACTGAGCTCTGACATTATTTTTCAGGCTCTGAATCACCACCAGACAAACGACACTCATGTGCAAATTTCCAAAAAGAGGAAATGATGACAAATGCTGTGACGCAGAAAGATGGACAGATGTTAGATCTATGTTTTTTATGTAGATCTGTTTTTATCTATATCTCTACACAGACAAGCTGTTTTATTTACATGACTAGATGTCGAATTTTTAAAATCTATTTTGTAATTAATTCTTTTAAAAATGCATCAAAAAGAGATTTTGTGAAGCAGCTGCAGATCTGTTGACTCAACCTAACGACTTCTCCAGTAAAGTGAATCAAAAGTCTGATTTCTTCACCTCATTTCCCCCCCAGATGTCTTTCTGAGATCAGGAAGCAAGGACACTATGTGACATCGCAGGAACACATAAACCATGGCCACAACTTTTATTATTCCAACACCAAATCACGGTGAAATGGACAGCTTTGGCTCAGTAAACTGCAGTGGCATTACATTCACGCAGGCTGTCAAAGGACACATGAGCTAAATATAGCTGAGAGTTTACTGTTAGCTCACATGATGGTCCCTATCATCACGCACTGGCAGGGAGTCATGCAGCCTCCTGAGGGCACACGGTGTCACAAACGGTCTAAAAGTAGGATAAACAATGATTTATGAGGCAGAGATGGAGGGAAAACGCCCAAATCCTAAAGGTACCGATACGTCCTCTTAATATTCATGCTTCATATATAAATCCACATCTTTTAAAGTTACATTTCAAAGAATTAAAAATGCTATTTGAGCTTTTATTATGTAGGCTGATTCTCACCTTTGTCACTATCATAACCAGTAGACTAGACCAGTAAAGCATAAATCATCCTTTCAGTGTTTTATTGAGCAATCTAAGCAGTAATGGGAAAAAAAAAACGCCATCAGCATTGGATCTTGGTAACCATGGTTGGACTTCGGTTCTTAAGAGAATTAAATCAGCGTCATCCTTTTCTTTTTTCGTTATTAATTCAGTCATCTTACACCATCTAAATGGAGTTGAGATCTGAACTCTTTTGTAGCTAAGATCATTTTTTGTTCTAGTTTAGTCTTGTTGCATTAACCATCACCCGACTGATGACCGCTATTTGAAATTACCACATAATTTAAACATAAATTCTCTTTAAATTGATCAAAACACCCATTTATTCAGAAAAGAAAGCAGCTTCAAACCATGACTCTCCCTCCACCGTGCCTTAAAGCTGCTATCTGGCGTGGTCCCTTTCAGGAATTCTGTATCATTTTTCAGAGACACATAAAAGTGATTGTCTTTTCATGTAGTGTGATGTATTGTAGGAAATATGCACGCCCCCATCCCACAGAGCTCAACGCAATATGAACCGAGTGTCGGTCAGCACTAACCAATAGCGTTAGACAACCGCTTACGTACAGACGTCATTCACAAAGTGTGCTCAAGCGTTTAAGGATGTACCTCAGTTGATGAAGGTTGGCGACCTTTCTCACGCATAAGTAAGTCTTTAAAACATAAATATATGAATACACAACATAACGTGAGCATAATGATTGCAAAACAACATGTTTTGACAGCTAGAGGAGAACATTCACGAAAAGAGGCGTTGCTTTTGGCCTTAAATGCAGAAATGAAAGTAGGTCATGATGTGGTACACTTGTTAGACACTAGATGGCGCCATCCCAGATAAAAGAAAAAATACGGACAGCTACTTTAAAGTTGGAAAACGGAACATAAACACCAAAGTGACATCTAGTGTGTGGAGGTTGTAAATGCAACAACAGAACAAGATTTCCAGCCGTCTGTTGTAGGCTTCACCTGAACTCACTCTGGTTTTAGAGCTTTTATGGTAGCTCCTCTTCTGAGAAGAATAACTTCTTCTGGGCTCAGAAGCGGCTGCTTGACTCGCAGAGTCCGCCAATTTCCACAGTTCCAGCCTCGCTATGCCAAGCGGACTGTTTACCATATTTAGCAAGCTGCAATGGTGCCCTCTAGTGGCTGGTAGATGGAAACATCAACCCAGTGTCGAGCCCGTTTTTATTAAAAAAAATAATCAAAAAATAGCTTTTAAAGGAAACACTGTACCTTCATTCTGCACATCTCTAAATGCCCCGTGGAGGGATTATATTTTTAAATGTAGAGCTATTTATTAAAGGGGAAAAAGACATTTTTTATTGAATTGTTTCATATTCAACCCTTAAAGCTGGGAGCAGATAGTGATTTAGCTCATTTTTAGAAAAAATAAAACATTTCTCATCTGTTAACAGAACATTGTTTAAGCTGGGATCTAGTGCACATCAGTGGTTAGCTTTAAAATGTTTATAGCTGTAGATTTCACATCATGCTCCTAACATGACCCTTGCTGGGCAGGACATGTGCCCTTTCAACACTCCTGAATTTCATCCATTTGCAGGAACGTTCATGTTATTGAAGGTCTGACGAAACACTTTGTTTTCCCCGTTTGTGCAACTCTGTAATGCTCCTTCTCCAGTGAAAGTTGTGAGAGCAGCTGAGGTCATAGCCGTTCGTTTTGACAAGCGCAGACTGGCAGAAACCAGACTGTGTGTGTGTGTCCCTGCAGGGAGGGCGTCCTCCCACATTTCAGCCCATCAAAAGGAACACAACTCGGAAATTGAATTGGAGAAATCCATCCAATTAAAGCATCGACTAACTGAACAATCAGACGTCACCCCAACTCACAAAGAACCAAAACATTATGACACCGTCTGCATTGGTTGGTTTGTACTTCCCTCGGCTTGAGGGCGATCAAGAGGATCCTTTTTAGAAGAAAGTACAATAATATTTATAATTCACACTAACTTTATTGTGTGTGTGTGTGTGTGTGTGTGTGTGTGCGTGCGTGCGTGCGTGCGTGCGTGCGTGCGTGTGTGTGTGTGTGTGTGTGTGTGTGATTGGTCCAGACCTGTATATGACGCCTTTGCTGTGGAGGAACATGAGAGCAGAAGTGATCTCCGCCGTGTAGAAGCGCGCCCTGCCCTCTTCGAATTTCCTGGACTTCTGGATGTGGAACATGAGATCTCCGCCATTAACGAACTCCATCACGAAGAAGAGTCGGTCCTGATGTTTGAATCAGAAGATGACATATAACACTTGGTGGACTCAGACCATGGCTGAGGTGAAAAATAAGCTGTGACCATGAACAGAAAGAAGTTACTGATTTCAGTGCAGCCAAAAGGACGCTTCTTTGCGTCATTACACGTAAACATCAAAAAGTGATTTTAAAAACAAGATGCATTAAAATGAAGACATCCTGCAATATGAAAGGATTGTTTTGTACATTTCTATTAAAATTATCTATCAACGCTGATGCTGGGGGTTTTGTGTTTGTATATAAATTAGTTGAAAGCTTAAAAAAATAAACACAACAGGCAAAAAAGTTGGATTAAAGGCAAAACCTTATTGTTTAACTGTAAAACAAAACAATCATCTACCCCCTACACAACAGGCTAAACAGCTCTTGTTTACTCCTCTGAACACAGTTACCAAAACTATTTAAAAAAAGAGAATTTCACACTTTTGTTACAATTTTAACAAGAAAACGTGGTGATGAACCACTGATAAGAATAAAACTGTGGAGAGTTGGTGAGAACAACCAATCAGGAGGTGTTTTACTCTTTCTTCTCAATCTCGCACACAAGACTGAGAATCTGCTGCTACCTGCTGGGCAACTGAGGAACTACATGCTTCAGCTCCACTGCAGGAACACAAAACATCCCTGCTGTGGGTTTCTTTTACACTATTAGCATTCATTACACATGCACATAATGTTAATTAAAAATATATGTGCAGAAATGATTAAATGTCTAATATTAACTAGTTTTCCAGATTTTAAACATCTTCAAACAGGGAAGAGTTATTGTTGTTCACTGTTTTCTAATTCTGCAAGTCACAATGTTACCAGCTTTGGCTGAGGAAGTATCAAAAATATATCAGTTACACAGATCTATGTGCAAAGAAGATAAAAAAAATGTAAATAAAGTGAGAAGAAAACAGAAACCGCCCCTTTAGTTGAGTCGTACTGACCGGTGTCTGGAAACAGCAGTAAAGCTCTGTGAGGTAGGGGTGCAGACGCGCCAGTGAGAGCACCCGCTTCTCAGTCATGGTGCACTCGACGTCATCGTCCTGCAAAATGATGTCCTTCTTCAAAACCTTGATGGCAAAAACGCGGTCTTTGCCGTTAAGTCTCGCCAGCATCACCTGCACACAAAACATGCAGGCGGCGTTACTCAGCTGCACCAGCTGTTTAATCCTGTAGCTTTCAAAGTTCAACTTTTTGGGTTAATTGCACTTTTATAATGATTATTTTATCTCTCACTTAGAGATAATAGACAGTGCATCAAATCTGTTTTATTTCTGGCTCCATAAAAAACTGATCGCTTCAATTAGAACTGGTGGTGCTAAAAGCCTGTTAGTTTCTGGATGCAGCATCTGATTAAATCAATGAATTAATACAGCTGTATGAAAATAAATTGTGAGAAATAGGCTCAAAAATATTTACCAGGTCAGTGAGTATTGGGAGAAGATTTTGCACACAGGCTCTAGTCTACCCTCTGCAAATGCATTGATACGGAAAACAATGTAACGTTTTATTTGTTCCCCCAAATTTTTGTATTTTCTTTACATTTTTTAGAGAATTGCAGCTAGTCTAAATTCCACTTTTCCCACTAGCCATGAAACCTACTAATCTGTCCTCATTGGTCATTCCCACCTTGCCAAAGCTGCCTTTTCCAAGTACTTGAAGAAATGTAAAGTCTGAAATTCCCATACGAGGGATCTGCTGTCGAGTTTCCGAGCATGTACTCTGCCTCCTCTCCGAGGACTTTGTCCTCGGCTCTGAACTCTTCACCTGCAAATTCACCAAAAACATTATTGCGTTTAAAAATCACACTGAAGCAACAATTACCTCAGTCTGTGGGGGGAGAAATGAATCGTTCATACCATCGTGTTTCGTTTGGAAAGCCCTCCAGCCTGCAGACCCATCTCTTTGAGCTTATTGGCCAGCTCCACACTGTTGACCCCACAGTTGGGAGCGATGTTGTCTTTGCAGCGGATGTGAACGTTGATTTTACAAACTGCAAAAAACAAACCAGACAAATGCAGCCTAAAAACAGAGCTGATCTGATGCAGATTTTGGGAAGCATGTTTTGATGCGGTCCTTACTCTTGCAGTGCAGCCCCTGCCTGACGATCCCCCACAGCAGCGAGCCGCAGTGATCGCAGAAGGTGGGCGACTTGTAGCTGTGGATGTTGAACTTGTGAGGGACGTTGATGCTGAAGCCCTGGGTTGCAGGCTGCTGGAATTAAGACACGCAATCTGAATTATGATGCATAAAAATGAACACATTTTGTTTTTATTTTAAGTGTGACTTTTATTTTTATTAGTTGCTGTGCTTGCTTGGAACTTTCCAGAGGAAGGAAAATTTGTGCTGTTCTGGCGAAATAAAGAAAAGCAGAATGCTGAAATGCAAAAATGAGTAAATATGGATGGATGTGTTTAAAGATGCACGCGGGCCGGTTCAGTGGTAGACTCATTCTGAAACAGGAAGCTGTTGGGTCTACTGATCACTGCAGGTGTGTGTGTGTGTGTGTCTCAGGGGGGCTGGTATTCCTGCACTTCCTGAACTAGAAGAAAATAACCAACGTGGTAAAATAGTGTCAGTCAACACTGCGTCGCCTACAGGTTGTGCAGAACAGCGCTGCCAGGTTCCTGACTGGGACCAAGAAACGGGACCACATCAGTCCAGTTCTGGCCTCCCTGCACTGGCTTCCGATTTCCTATCGCTCACAATTCAAAATACTCGTCTTTGTTTATCATTTCTTCCAGGGTGGTGCTCCCCCTATCTGGCCACACTCCTGAACAGACATTCCCCATCACGCGCTCTGCGCTCCTCTGACAAGGCCTGCTCGCTGTCCCTCGGTCTAGGTGTCGTACCCGTGGGGACCGGGCTTTCTCAGTCCTAGTACCGTTACTCTGGAACCAGTTGCCACCCTCAGTTAGGCTGTCCCCTTCTCTGCCAGTCTTTAAGAATCACCTAAAAACACACCTCCTCCGCTTGGCGTTTCCAGAACATGTTTGATTATGGCCCTCTATTATGTTGAATCCATTCCACAGTTTTCATTGGTACACTCAATCCATCCACTCAATCCAATTGTGTTTCACACATTTGTATTTTACCGGAATGTTTCATCTATCTTGTTATTTCCATTTTGTATTTTGTAATTTGTATTTTGTAATTTGAATTTCTTTTATTGTTGATTTATTCAGTATAATTACTTACAACTGTACCATGTTCAGCGCTTTGGGCTTCCTGACAGGGTTGCGGAAGGCGCTTTATAAATAAAGCTTTGATTGATTGATTGATTGAATAAATTAGATTTTCCAAACATGCTGATGATTTTATTTTTGAGAGAACCTAAAACCTGCTGTTGCAACCCTAACCCTAACAAGGTGTTAGCTGCAGATACCTGCTCTTTTGCTGATTTCTTCTTCATGCGCGGACACTCCGTAACAACCAGCTCGTGGCATCGTTTATGAACCACACAGGTACACACTGGAGAAAAGAAAGCATGTCACCGCGGTTGCTTTTATGATCAGGTGGCTGCAGCATAAAGCACATAATGAGAACACACAGGAGAACTGCACACCTTGACACTGGTAACCCTGTTTTCCAAAAGCACCCCTGCAGCAGAGAGAATGAGAAAAGATCAGTTTTATCAACAAGCCAGCAGGGATTTTCTGGTTTGACTTTCTCACCAAATGAACTCTTTGCAGTGAAAACAGAAGGTGAACTGGCGAAGGTACGTGGACATGAACTTGTGTCCGTTGACTTGGTGGACCCTCCGTCTCACAGCGCCCTGCCGCGTCCTGGTGAACTGCTTGTGGCCGTTTTCTTTCAATAAGGCATCATCTGTAAACAAAATGAGAGAAGAACAACAACAAGAGATTTTACTATCAGCTCTGCTGTTGTTTACATCAAAATAATAAAAGTTTATTTAACTTGTTTTATGATTTATGAAGCAAACAAGCTGAATTACAACATTAAAAAATCAACACCAAAATGAACAACAGCAGAAGAAAAATGTGGAAAATGTGAAATTAAACAAATAAAAAGTAAAACAGTAGGGAGTATACATGCCATTTGAACTTTGTGCACATTTATATGGTTTACCTGACTTGTTTTACATTCATTCTGCTAAGTGTGAGCTCACCACTGTGTAAATGTGAGCTTAAAACCACACTGGTGTTATGGAAACCTTTGTGCAGAGCCCACGCTCTGCCCCTGCAAACAGCAGATAGATGGGTTGTAATGGTATGAAAGGGGTGTGAAACCAAGCATTAAAAGTTCCAAGACTGCTATATTTAAAATGAGTTATTTAAAAAAAATGATGAATGTTGTGTTGTAAATTTAATTCAGTGATCGTCAACGACATCCTGATACATAGTTTTGGTGTTTGTTTTTTTGTCATGTGATTTTTTCCCCCCTAAAAATTTTTTTATTCTGAATGTTAAATATTAACAAAGGGATATAATCATATTTTTTACTAAATGGATGCAATCATATCTGACCACTGGCGAAATGTCGATAAAAGCGATTTCCTGACATGCCTGACCTCTTTTTGTGGTGGCGATAGAACACCTGATTGCTTCTTTTCTTGTAATGAAGATCCAGCCAAGTTTAATCAGACAAAATATTTCATACTATATGAGGAACAAAAGAAGCGCTGATCTATCTAGAGTCAGAGGTCTTTTTGCAAAAGGTGTCTTGTCTCTTGTGGTCACGTACCTAAACCAGCAAGCATTATATGAGACGTACAACTACAGAGACGGATGCTTAATATCGGTATTTTGTGCCTTATTTGCCCTCTCAAATGTGTAATAATAGCTGATGCACAACATTTCTGAACATTAATTTGTTTTTGAACACTGAATTTAACCAACTGTTGAATCTTAATATTTTTTTTGCCCTGTATTAAAATCAAACATTTACCCAAAGTTAACAGGTAAATAAAAACAAACACCAGTTGACAATAATGTTTTAGAGCATTTATCAAGCAGATGTTTTTCATGAAAATAAATGTAAAATTTAATATATTTGGTAGCAGCGACATGGCTGCCCGTAGATGTGCCTGGTTTTAAATTGGCTCTAATAAAGAGATATGTTGGCCGATCCTTAACTCAAACCTATTTGTTTATCTTCAGTGGTGCCCCCAGAACATTTTCATGGGGGGGCCCAGATCAGGCTAGTGAAAAATTCTGGGGTGGCACACCAAACAGGTCTATGTGGTAACTGCAGGAAAGGTTACCTTTGTTCTTTTTCATTAAAGGGGAACTAGGCAGTTTTGGCTAGCTTTTAGCACCCCCTAGTGTTGTTTGTAGGACTGAAAGCATAACTTATCCTCTTGCTGTGCGTTCGTCGTCTTAACGCCTTAATCTAACAGCTGAAATGTCTCCCCAGCCTTCCTTTGTGTCTACAGGAGTGATAGATCACCAAATGAAACAAATCACCTGTGTTAATGATCTAAAACATGCAGGAAACAGACTACTACAGCCCCAGAGTACTGCCATTGATGACAAAAGTTGTCATTTTAAATCCAGCCGTTCAATGCAAATGATGACTAAAGTCATCACTTTCTTTTACAGCAGCGGCCCAAAACGATCTCCTAACACGTGGATTTTCTGCTTCCTGATCACGTGACGTGTGATATACGCAGATGAAGATCGGCTTTAGAGCTGAGATGTTTGTTCAGATGTTTGTTCTGATGACTAAATTCATCATTTGCATTTTTTTACTGTGTGGGCATCGGAACGAGCCCCCGCACCGTGAGAACAAACATCTCAGCTCTAAAGCCGATCTTCATCAGCGTATACCACACGTCACGTGATCAGGAAGCAGAAAATCCACGTGTTAGGAGATCGTTTTGAGCCGCTGCTGTAAAAGAAAGTGAGGTGTGAACTGGAAAAGCTTCTGTTGATCAAAATTTGACAACGGATTATGAAAGAATGGATAACGTTCCAAACACGCGGATTCTTCCTGATGTAAGAGACGACTCTACTCTTTGTTAGGTAGTTTTGGTGTTGACATCATCATAGTGCATAACGTTATGTGACTCTTGAAAAAAACTGTGAAACATTGAAAAACGCTGGCAAAGAAGGGCTTTTCTGGTCAGAAAACAGCTGGCAGTTAATGAGTTCAGGAAAAAGACAAAATTGATTGCAGCATTTTTATTATTATCATTATTTATTGTTTTAGAATTTTTGAAAAGTGTAATTTTCCTGTTGCTGTCCACAAATATCCACAAAAGCGATTGAGATTTATGCTTTTTTTTAAATGTCTCTGTGACATACAAATATACTTAAATTATTAGTGACATTATTTATTAACATTTTATTAAAATAAATTTACTCATTGGAAAATGTATTATAATATAGATGATTTTTTAAAGGGAGGGGGGGCAAAGGGGTGGACATGGCCCATCCTGGCCACCCCTCAGAGGCACCCCTGTTTATGCTGTCATATGTCTAGTCTTTTTGTTGGCCTTCTGATCATCACTTCTTAGGTTGGTGTAGTTAGGGTGTAGGTGTTTCTGTCCAGTAATTACAACCCTGGTGTTCTACCAAGAAATTTACTAAACACAAGCTTAATTGGAAATTTCTGACTTCTAGGCAGCAGTTATGTAACATGAACCTTTGAATCATCCCTTATTTCTGGAGCACAGCTGCTATTTTGCTCATTTTCAGAACAATGGCACAAAACTAGAAACATCTAGCTTAAAACAAATGTTCAAACTTTACATTTTCTTATATGTGGGAATCTGATTCTGCAGATTTTAACCAACACAAGAAAGCTGGGAGTAATTCAATTTTGACTATTCATAAACTTGTGTTAGAATAGCAGATCATTCAACTTAAAATGGTAACTTTAAGTACAATAAAACTAAACAAATTGGGGCTATAATAAATGTTGTTCTTTTGCAGAGTTGTTCTTGTGATAAGACTATTATCTCTTCTGATATTATTTGTGCAGATAATAAAAATGCAAGTAATGTGTAAAACAGGAAGAAGATGTTTAATAATATTAAAACATTGGAGAAGAATGGTGCAACTAACATGCCATCTCCAGTCTGTAGGCCCAGCTTCTCCTTAACTAACCTGTAAGTGAACTTCCTCATCAGATACTAAATTCTGATCATGATGACTAAAGTTGATCTGTGCACACACGAACAAACGCAAAATGAACTAGTTCCCACACGAACATGCATTCACATGTTCTTCTGCACATCCTGCAGGATCTAGCATGTATTTGTGTGTTTTGGAAAGACAAGACATGGCTGGATTTGCTGGCAGTTTCACCCGAAAGGTCACAAAGCTTGAATATTGACATGTGCACATGCAGAACAACAACATCCCCAGGGAGCAGAGTTCATACCATCCGTGAATGATCCGGTGAGCGTGATGATGACGTAGACTTTTCCCTCCGGCTCCAAGTCCATCTGAAGGAACACAAGCAATAAAGCACAATCATGTCTAAAACCTACGAGAAACATGAAGGAAACATGACAAAATAAACAATAATTAATGCACTTAATGTAAGTTAATAGTCAAATTAGTTGGGACAAGGCAGGATTTAAGTGGTTAAAAACGGAGATCTTTGTCTCAGACTCCCACGACACCGAAGGTGAATATAACTGCATTGTTTTCATTCCTTTGCTTCCACACAACGTCTAAAGAATCTGAATACGTAGACAGAGCAGCCAGTTGGGCAGGAAGGGTAGGCTGAAGTGATCTCATTAATATTTTGATCATCCCCGGCATGAGAGTGGAGTAAGGACACTCAATGGCAGTCAGACAAAATCGACTTCCTGCTGAAAACGGCTGAGTGGAAACTTAGGTCACTGTGTGCTTAAAACCAAGATCTATTTGTGTTTCATACACCCTTCCTGGAAAATGCTGACACGGCAAAACTGAGACATATTTAAATAGCATTAGTGCCTTTAAGTGTCCTTTTCCTGTTTGTTTTCAGGCTCAGTCTATAGTCCAGACTGTAAATGTCCACCGTGAGACGTCCTTTTCGGCTAAACTTTGGCAGTTTCACTCTGGCACCGCAGTTTTAGTCACTTACAAGAACATCCTGCCTGAGCATTTAAGCTGTCAAGATGCTTTGTTTTGTTACCCTTCTGCAAAAGAGAGCAACGTTCAGACTGTTAAATCTCTGGATTTTAGACTTAGCAGCAAAGAAGGGCCCCAATTCAGCTGATTTATTACTTTAATTTTATTTATATAGTCTGTGAGTTTCTGTAAAAGAGAAAAAAGCAGATCTTATCAGGAGCGTCCTTCTTGTGAACGTTTGATGCTGCAGCAGAGAGGAGCGCTTTAGCTCCAACGCAGGATGATGGGAGAGTTGGAAAAGGGTTTAATTTGAACCAACTTTTATTTTCTTAAGTCTGCATTGCTTTTGCATGTGTTCACAGATAGTTTACTTCGCACACAGCAGAAAATAAAGCGAAGCATCATCATGCAGAGTCGGCGGCGAGTAGGAGGCAAAGGAAGCTGCCCTAAATATCATGAGTGTGTCATCCAGATCAAAATAGAAATTGAGTTAGTTTCGGAGACAAGTTGCAAAAGCCGACGTCACGGCTCACTAGACAAGACGCCCCAGGTGATCAAACTGAATCTGCGAGCTCAACTCTGAGCACAAACACCTAAAAGTCAGTGAGGAAGACGAGCAGCTGGATAAGAGCCAAGAGAAAATGAGTCTGCTGACGGACAGAGCACGGATCAGCTAGTGGGAACAGTGTGATAAACAGCCGTGTGGGCGTGTGGAGGCCTGTGTGTGATGTAGGCAAGGAACCAGCGCAGCACTACTTCTGCACAACAAAGATTCAGAAAGAAAAAAAAAGTCCTTAGTAGTTCAGATCTAACGGATAACATCGCAGAGAGAGCTGCAGGCCAAGTTCCACTTTCATACCACTTCCTCACAAAGCTTGGGGTCTTGAGTGCATGAAGCCGTCTTTGGTGTTTTTTTTTTGTTTTGTTTATTTATTTATTTTTTTTTTGCCATCTGTTGCAGCATCAGGCTGCAAGACACTCACGTCAAACGCAATTAATGGTAAAATGTTAAGATGCACTCAAGAAAACACCAAATTCTTCTGCAGCGAAATGCAAAGCAGCTTTTAACTGAAAGAGGATGACTGACAGGAAGTGAAAAATGTCCAAAAATATTCATTATTTGTGTGCGATGACAGTGAGGTGGTACATGGCAAAAAAAAAAAAAAAAAAAAAAAAAGCGGCTTCATGTCCAGGCCTGAACATGTTTGGGTGACATTCATCAACACCTTCGAAGTCCTGGAGGGGAGAAAGTAAGTCAGAAAGGAGAAACTCCAGTCTGAAGGGAGAAGCTTTAGTTTCCAGAGACGAGAGAGACTGAAGCATCAGTTTAGTCTCAGAAATAGTGATAAAATAAATGGACTTATGCAGATTTGGATGCATAGCTGACAACTTGCATGTGTGGCCGGTTTCTACTGATTACTGTCAAAGCTTCAAAGCCAGAAGCTGTGAGACACGTTCAGTACTTGGCGAGAGCGCGCGGCCCGAGAAGATGGAGGAAATGACCTGAAAGAGCTCAGAGAGATGGACTCGTTCTGTTTCCAAGCTGAGAAAAGGTGCAAGTTAGTGGATCAGCTTAGATCAGGTGGAGGCACCACCAATCAGGTGCACTTGTGCCACTTCCTGTCTGCAACCAGAAATAATTTATTACAATATAGAATAACATCATTTATAACTTCCATGTTGGGATGATTTGCTAAATGCTCAAGTTTTAACATCTCATTTAAAATCAATATAATAATATTAAATACTCACTTTGGCCAAACCTTACAAGACAAAGGGCTAAAACTGTCAACTCAATGGTCCTCGCGGGCCACGAAAATGTAATTTTGTTAGATTTACAAAGTGTTAAAATTATTTAACCTGTTTAACCCTAACGCCCCCCCCCCCCCCCCCCCCCCCAATTGGGGGCCTCTACAGTTTCATGTCCCAAACATCTACAACTGTCCACATTCTCCAAACACAACTAAAACCACAATCAAACAGCCCAGATGGGAAATAAGGTCATTTTAAATTGTAATAAATTAAGATACAATGATATCTGAAAATTATTTTAGAAGAGCATGTGACCTTCAGTGGTGTCTGCTGGGAAAAAAAAACCCTTGAGCAAATGTAGTTGAGGACCCCTGGAATAAATAAAACAATTGACTACATTTCCTAAATGGAATTTGAACTCACAACCTCCATCCTGTCAGCACTTACACACAGGGCAGCTCTTCTAAAATTAAGTTCAAATATTATTTTATCTTAATGTATCAAAGACCAAAAATTGCCTTGTTTACAATCAAAACGGTTTTGATTGTAGCTGTAGCTGTGCTCGGGGAATGCAAACAATCACTGACGCTTGGGGCATGAAACTCCAAAGGCCCCCAATTGGGAGGCGCCTGGGCCCAAAGAAAAAAAGGCCTAGGGCCTAAAGGGTTAATGGTCACGTTTTATTAATCTGTGCTTATCAAGAAAAGTTCAATGCAAGTACTTTAGTTAAATACGAGGATAAAAATGTTAGATCGACACCAACAGCCCGCTGGAGAGGAGAAAAGTCATTATTCTAGAAATGTAAATGTTTGAGATCATTTGAATGACTAATTTGACTGAATTTACGTGGAAGCCATTTTTAAACGTATGTGTTTTTCTTTTTCTTTAAACATATACATATACATATACATATATACATACATATATATATATATATATATATATATATATATATATATATATATATAACTATATATATATATAAAACTATATATATATATATATAGTTATAGTTATTTGGTTGGATTATTGTAGTAACTCCATGCTCTGGTCTTGTTTAAAATAAATACCTCACCGTGTATCTTCTGCATCAAAAGGCAACTTCTGAGCTGCACATGCAGGGGTGGGTGTACAAAAATGTGGTAATGGTAGTACAAAGTACAAGTACTTTGTAACTGTACTTAAGTACAATTTTTCTGTATCTGTACTTTACTGAAAAGATTTTCTTAAGGCTTATTTTTTATTTTTACTCCACAGCATTTTAAAGCAGCTATATGTACTTTCTACTCCACTACATTTTCTAAAACGTTTCAAAGGTGATTTATTTCGTTTCGTCTGCCCTCCAGCCCACCTTCTGTACAGTGGAGAGCGGCAGCACATCCCCTTGTCCTTGTTCCAAAGGTAACTGTAATTTGCAGTCTGCCCCCTCCCCTCCAGTCTGACAGTACTCTTCTACACACAATGCCTAGTAAAAAGTTAGCTGAATACTTTTACTTTTTTTTTTTACTTTAAGTAAATGCATACTTATTACTTTATTCTTGGATAATTCCACTTTTACTTAAGTAATATTTTATACCCCTTTGTACTTTTACTTAAGTGTCGTCTTTTGCTGTGGCTGTAGATCCCCTACTGAAGAAGCCAGGAGCAAGCTTGTAATGATCACACCTGGCCTTTGCCACAGGGGCGGTGCGGAGCAGGTGGGGAAAACGACAAGAACGTAACACTGGAGCGCAAAGGTGCATGTTTAAATGAGCAACACGGAGGGACAGAATGGTTTTGAATGTGGGTAAAACACCTACATCCTCCACAGGTGCGACACCCATGGTCGCACTGATTTACTCTGGGGGCCGCAAATGGCCGCCACGCCACACTTTGGACATGTCTGTAATAAAGTGGTTCAGGCATGGACGTAATTTTCACTTTAGAAGTGGGGGGACACGGGGGCGGGGGGGGGGTATCTTTACAGTATGCTCTAATGGGAAACAGGCTTCAACACAAATGGTTGTTTTCTGCTTGGTCCTAGAGCTCAACCAGTGTCCATTTAATATAGCGTAATACTGTTTTTGGATGGTAAAATGTGCAGGGGTCAAAACTTGACTTTGGAAAAATTGGGGGGGACATGTCCCCCCTGTCCCCCCCCAAAAAATTACGTCCATGGGTTCAGGCAATGGATGGGTTAAATATTCAGATGAAATGCATTTACTGGAATATTTTGTGATGTGTAGAAGAAACTTTTAACTTAAATTTAAGTCACAAAAGTCAGATCTGTAAATCTCTAAATCTAATTGCGGTACAGAATGACGGCCATCAGTAATTGCTGATAAGTGAGGTTGGAGATTATTATATTTTAGGGATTACTGACTAGAAAGGATTAAAATCCCAGGATGCTGGTTCAGACACAACCATTGTCTAGACAGAAAACAGGTTACATCCCTGGTTCCTCTCTGTGGGATAACAACACCGGTCCCTTTAAAATGGGAACTCGTCCCTGTTTTCCAGTTGGTTCCCAAACGTTTTGGACATTTTCAGCTGACAGGTTTCTGCTGACACTCACCCATCCCTCAAAGGTCTCTCCCGTGTTGGAGGTTTTGATCAGGTCCACGAACTGGATGGTGCAGTTGGCCACAAAGTCATCATAACCGATGGGAGTGTCGTGGAACACCGTCAGCTCGATCTGTTTACCGTTGTTGACGTTCAGGCAGAACTCCTCGTTGTACGTGGGCATGTTGGTTTTCTGCTTGGTGTGCGTCTGTCCAACTTTGAAGTCGTCCACCTTCACCATGATGTAAGGGTCCAGGGCTGGAGGAGCCTTGTTGAAGATGACAGTGTGGCGGGTGGAGAAGGTTGTGGGTTTCAGATCCAGAGCCTCCCCGATACGGAGCTTCAGATATCCATTAAACTTCATTTTTAATCAGCTTACGTTGGTAAAAATAATGGAAAAAAGCTAAAAAAAATTAAATATTATTAAATCACATCCACTTCATTATAAAAACCGAACTGTGTTGTCGTTGTTAGTCATCCTGGCGTGAACCTTTCCTCCCAGCGCGCACAATCTACTGGAAACCAGTTCCACCAACTCTCAGTAAATGGGAAGCTTCAGCGCTGCCATGCAGAGCATTAAGCTCAAGTTCCGCATTATTTAGACTCACTAGAACAGTCAACCTGACACTGACGGGTTTGGTTTGTCACGTGGTTTCAGTTGTAGTTGAGTTTCTCTAACGAGAGTACTGCACTACCCAGCATGCTTCACTCCATCAAATGAAAGTGTCCTGCTGCTCACCTGTTGCGCCTTCTTTTGGGAAACGCCGCGCCCTGCTGGTGTTTTTGTAAAAGTGCATATGAGGACATCTATGTTTATGTCAAAAGATTTTTTTATTTTATTTTCTTCCTTTAGGATTCCTCATTAAAAGATAAGCAAAACTTTCTATGGGCAGATATATTAACAATCTATCAACAGTACTCTATGAGGAGGAAGAGAATAAAAGGGGGACAAATAAATACATTTCAAAATAAAACATAGTGACATGAAGTACAAACACGGTAGAAAACTAATTTAGATGAATAAAGCTTATTGTTATACACCACGATAAAGAGTTCTTACTGAATGGGGTCATGAAAACGTGTTACAATTTTCATTAACTAAGTCTCTTCCATCTAATTTAGCTTTATATGTTTAAACTGTTTTTATTGTTAGGGTGATGACCTTAGTGATCGGAAACACAGGAAATCTGTACTTTTGTATGTGTGTATATACATTTCCCGCCCTCTGGCGGCCACACAGTTATTGTAAAGCTAAACAAGATACAATCCACCAGATTTTCCTGTAGAATCCTTCAAAATAAAACATACTACTTTAAAAATTGCCACAGCTTTTAAATTAGCGTTAACAGCATAAGTACTCTAGGTATTGCTGAAATGTCTTCCTTTAAACAAATTACATGAACTCCTGAGAGTCACTTTATCTATTTTATTTATTTGTGTTAGAGGAAATCGACGTGCTAAAGTCTATATCAAGCTCCCACAATGCGGCTTTAAAATTGAAGCCAACCCGGAAGTAGCAAAAATTGCAGTTCCACCCTCATCCGCTGGGGGCTGGTGTCAGAAACGAGCAAATCCTCATTGACTCCCATGTTAAAAATACCAATTTCACAGCAGAAATAAACATGTTTACAGCCTGGTACCAGAACACGTTTTTTGTTTAAATTATCTAGTTTACACTCATGACAACTCTGAGGGGGGTGAATTTTTTTCTCACTCTTCTGTTTAAGTGTATTGAAAGCCTACAATTCTGTATAATTAATGAGCATCCGACACATGTGACTGCCGCCTCAGACCCACGTGACCGCAGAGCTAGCTCCGTGGAAAGGCCTCAGTAGAGCCTCGGTCTCTCCTGGAAACTGCTCAGGGATTTTGAGTCTCTGTGTTTGTGTATTCTTTGTTGGATATTATTTGTGCAATTGTTGGACAAAATGACTTGCTGTGGCATTAATTGCACTAATAGAGCGTCCAAGGAGTCTCCACTTCATTTTTTTCGGTAAGTAAAATTGCATTTATGTATTTTAGATCACTGCCGAGCTGAGCCTAGATTTTAACATGTACTGTTTAACCATGAAATTTAAATGTAATAGGGTAAAACCCAGTGCATTTAACGTAATGCTGCACTTTAGAAAATGGGTTGAAATATAACATGTTGGTGGAGCTGGGTTCCGACTATCGGATTGTGGAGCTCTCGGGAGACCGATGTTTTCCTCCCGGAATGCCGGCTGCTTCTCCCCGCAGCCCGGTCCATCTCTGATCGCGGCTCCTTAGCTGCGCGGGCTGATGGCTGGTTCTCCCAGCAGCTCAGCGTATCTGTCTGATCGCGGCTTCTGTGCACTGCGGCAGACTGACGGCTGGTTCTTATGGCAAGCCAGAACCGCCAAAATACGCTACTTCTTCCTGCAGCTCGGCGCATCTCTGTCTGATCGCGGCTTCTGTGTGCTGTGCGGCTGCCGGCTTGTAGAGGTCTCGGAGACCTCTGTGTTCCACCCGGTTTTACCCAGCGGTCAGCCCGGCGCATCTCTGACTCAGAAGCTCTGGTGTTGTGCACAGTTAACTCCGGTTGTAGCTAGGTTGCTACCTCCGTTAGCTTAGCTCCCACCTCCGCATTAGCTTTGGGTTAGCTTCAGGTTAGCTTGTAGCTAGTTCGACCGGGTGTCGTCAGTCGATCCCAGCCTTACAGCCCCACCCTCAGCTCCACCTCTCTTCCCTTTTTTGGAATTGTCTGGGCTTGACGGAACCTGTGACATGGTCAAGATGGCGGTGGTGGCCACCTCCCATTTGACCTCAAAAAACTGATATTGGAGCCTATGGAAACTAATTGTCCAGTATATATGTCGCTGGCTAAAGCTAACGGCAGCTAGCTACAGTGCTACAAACAAATCCAATAATACCTAGCTGCAGCCGCAGCCACTACAAACCACGTCCCTACAAAACACTCCCCCATGTGTCTGTGGAGCTCCCCTGGTGGTCAGAAAAGGGAAATATATCAATAATGGCAGCCCTCCCAGCGGGCGGGGAGAGCTTAAACCTGGGTCGGATCCGGACCGCAGCATCCCGCCACAGGCTCCAGCAGGTGATTGGGGTTTGATTCATATCATTAAACGCCTTTCAATGTGAACAATACAATTGAAAGAATACATTTCTACAGAAATAGTAACAATGTAATTAAACAGACAGGACTCCAGATTTAAATATGAATATATGGATATTTTTTGTTTCTTGCATACACACTTTATGGCCATCCCCAGTGGGATTATAAAACACAGATACCACCAACAAATAATCAGTTGCCGGACAATAGGCACAACATACATATTCTTATTTAAGTTAGCAGGTGAATAATGTATGTGCAAGTGTTTATTTTAAATGCAATAAAATAAAATATCAGAAAAAGTAATTAGTGGTAATCATTTTAATTAACCCCTTAAGCCCACTAGCCCCCATTTTTGGGAGCACGCCTCCTACAGTAACATTTAACTTTCAACCATTTGTTATTACAGGCACTAACAGTGGTTCTAAGTCAATATGAGTGAGTAGTTAATATTTATGTTACTATTTATGTTTTTTTATTGCTTCTTTACAGTGAAAAGCTGCTGATGTGTAATTTTTAGGCATATTTATATGTGTATATATGTATTTCATATATTCTGTTAACAGGAATAATTGCTGGCCCTTTGACACAAAACGTATTGATTTAGAAATTACTGAACTATTTTGAATTAAGTATACAATTCACAAGACTAGTAAACTGATATTGACTATACACTAATCGTTAAAAATATGCTGTAAACACAAAAGCAGAAAAGTTTTGCTTTAGAAAAAAGTTCAGACAACTGAAACAACCAGCAACAGCTTTTATTGGCCTTACAAATACCTTCCAAAAAAAAAAGAAAAAATGTCAACATAATACTACAGCCTCTTCAAAAATTCAGATGAGTTCAGAGCTTTTCTGAGTTTGTCCGTGTATATGAGCAGTTTTTGTTTTGCCTCCTTGCTCATGTTTTTTTTCCATGGCATAGGACATCAGCTGCCTCTCACTAATGAGACAAAGATAAATAGCAATTAGTAAAAATGACATTGACACCTAGAGGCTGTCATAAACAATGTGAAAACAATACATATAGGCATTAGCACTGTTGTATTTGTAGAATACCTCCAGTCATACTGCAGCCCATTGCTGTACATTTCTGTGGATTTGTCCAGTCAACATTTATGGACAGCTGAAAGCGCATGGATGGTTGCCTGAGTAATGAGGTGAACAAAAGGACATCTTTCATGTAGACATTAGTCTGTCATGTTGCAGGTAACAACATATTAAACACGAGTTATAGACTGACAACAGTAATGCTACAAAATATTTTCATGTGATACATAAAAATTTTCTGAATGTACCTCTGGCAGAAGCACATCCATAGTGAATGCCACTTGATTGTGACATCTGGTTGTCTGTGCTTCAACCAGGCTTGTCAAGAAGCCCATCACTTTGTCCAACTGCTCATCCTCCTCAAAGAAAATGTTCACCCTGCCCTTTGATGAAGCCCAGGTGGATGACACTTTTCCTGCGATGATCGCCTGTAAATAGAGATATTTTTGGAGGATGCTCAAAGTAAATGTCCAAACACTAGGTTAGCAGAAAATGTTTCACTTAAATAATTCATGACTCATGTTTTGACTGATATTGGTTACAGTGTGCAAATTTAATTATAAATTTAAAACTCACTTCCAGATGTAGCAGTAGGCCTTTATCCTGAGTGATAAATGATACAAGATCACTGCTGACTCTTCTTTGGTCTTCAGCTTCAATCAAGACACACAAAAACATGACTTCATGCACAGCAGTTAAAAATAAATTTATTTTGTTGTCAGGCAATAATCTTCACTCATATTCACCTGCTCTCTGGGTGGAAAGCTGAAAAATACACATGGTCGGTGTCCTGTGGACTCAGAGGAAAGCAAATAATTGTATCAGTTTGTTTTACAGTTATCCAAAGAGGATTGACATTTACACTTATTATACCACCACCATTGAAAGTTGACAACATATCAAACTTTCTGCTTTTTAAAATCAACAAATCAACCAAAACACATTGGAAAAGCTAAATACAACAACTGATAATTGTGGGACAACTGCCATCTCAGAATCATTCCATCCCTGAAAGTGGTGACCTATTTTCAAACAGGCAGGAGTAAGGTCTTCACTGACCATGGTGCTGCTTTCATGTTGTCTTTTTCTTTTTATCCTGAATACTGGTGGTACGAAGGGTTGCCTGTCCCTCTTCTGTAAAATGGGCAAACTTCCTTCCATACCTGTAATTTACACTCATTTTCATGAGCCAGAATTAAGATAAGTCTGACCATTAAAAAAAAAAAAATCATCGTTCAGGAAGCCCTGCAGCGTACCCTTCCAGGCCAAGGTTTTCTAATAGGACAATGCACCACCATCTTCTCAGAAGACACGTCATCCTAATAAAGACCACAGGTACGCTATGAGGACACATTCGTCATAGTATATTAAAAATATTTTTAAAGTAGTGATAGAATTTTTACATTTTTCTTTAAAAATAAAAAAATAAAAAAGCACAGATCGCATTTAAAATCTAACTCCCGACACCGGAAGACTCTAGCTGTTGGAAAAAACGGTAAAAATCCACCACAGACTTAAAGGGGCTTGTCTCACAAAATTCAGAGCTGCTCTTGTCCTCTGAATGGATTAAATTAGAATATACTTCTATAAAATAAAGGCTTTTATTATTATTGATGTCACACTGGGTGCTTTTTTGGGCTGATCAGTGAATCACTCACTGCCAAAGCAGTTGTGATATGCTGACGTCTGTGGAAGTTATGAAAGGGCTGAATTTGAATGGTGTAACAGAATGAAATGACTGGTTTTTTCCCTCCTCTGCACAAGCTAATCCATCAAAATGTTAGTCGATGAATAAGATGTGACCGACCTGTGAAATCAAAATATTAATTTCTTTGTTATAATCCTATAGAATATAAAGGTACTATGACTTTAAATGTTCCAACAGGACTCATTTCACGTAGCATTAAAAAGACATGACACATTACTTTCACTGATCCAATCAGAATCTTACAGATCTGACGGAGGCGTGGTTTTGATGGTGTTTGGTCATTTTCATTCGACCATAAACCATAACATCCGAAGTATAAAACTATGCCACATCATCTCTAACGCCAGTTCAAAGCGTTCCAGAGAAAGTGACGGAGTGGCCAATCCTGAACTATACTCTTCAACCGAAAGAACCAACGACAAGCTGAAAAATTTGTTGCTATTCCAACTGCTGCAACAGTTCTTTTCAGAATAAAAGCTGAACCATCAAGACCCAGGCTTGGGTCTCACCAGATGCCAACAAAATTGTCGCGACCCGGAAGTAACTCACAGACTGGACTGGTCGGCAACCTCTGCTTTTCCTACCGGCTCGGTTCCAGAGAGGGTCAAGCTGGACCTCGGCATTCCTGATCTAAAGAGGACTTCCTGAAGGGTAGGTAGACCGGCAAATGGTGTCTCATGTGTTTATGAACCTCCCAACCAAAGCTTAATGCGAAGACATCACCTTCAGCTCCCGTCAGAACTAATCGCTTCTTCGGATTTGCTGGTTCTGATTAACATCACACGTCATCCATTCACCGTCTCATCCACTTTAGTTACACCATACATTTAGTGTTTAAAGTCAGTCTAGTTTAATTTGTTAGTAATAAAATTCGTAACTTTTAAACTTGACTCTCTCTCTTCTGTTGTCTCTGAGTGAATACGAAGCGGTTATCTAATCCCTGCAACAAAAAGGTCCAATCTTCTGGTTTAAATAACTCACCGATCCGTAAGGTGGATTTCATATTTCCTATGGAATCCTACGCCTTATGGCTTATTAAATAACATGTAATCTAAATCATTACAATGGAGACACAACAGCTGAGAGGACTGGGACATCCTATCTCCTGGTCAAGTTCCCCATCCCAGGAAGTACCCTGGAGTTCTGCAAATGGAAATATGCCTAATATCTGTAATCCACAGAACAGGGAACATGTCCAAGAACGGGACCATGCAAATTGGTAAATATTCATAATTTCCTAAAGTTCAACAAGGAGGTTTTCTTTCTGTCTCCCTTCCCTTTTCATTGCATTTAAAATTTGTCTGTTTTCTTCAGTTTCAGCTATTTGAAGCAAATCTCATCTGACCCTATAACAAATGTACAGAGCGTGGTACATTTATTATCACATTGCCTCCTGACTGAACTTATTTTAGGAAATATTTGTAAACATTGGCAGGTCAGGATAACGTGACCACCAGGACACACAACACGGGCAACCTCAACAGATCCCTGTAGGCCTGACTGGAGAAACCATCTGCTCTTCTGAAATAATGGGAATCCAGAAATGAAATTTCTTTCTGGAGTGGCCTCATTATCTATAGAAAATATAACATCTGTACAATTAGACCACAGGAAACTCACAAATGACTTTAAGGTTAAAGCACAGACATCATCTACAACATATGTCCCAACATGTTATGTTGATATTGTATGCCACTCACAAAATTGTTCTGTAAATGGTGTAATGTTCTTACACTCAGCAGAAAATGCCCTAGAATCCATAGTAGGATGATGATGGCATCTTTCTGTAAAAACAAACAAAAAAATAAAGATTACAATCATTTTGCATGAAGGGGGACTTCATGATATTGAGTAGTGATTTGTTAGCACCGCAAGGCTAAGGGACATTTTATTTAGCTAAGTATTAGAAGTATCCTGGCATTAAATTATCCTTGATACAGTGTTTAGAGCCAGCAAAAACATTTCACAAAAATCACATTTTATGTTTTTTAATTACTGGGAAATGGAGCGGGGGGTCGCAGTTGGTGGGAGGTAGCCACGTTCGTGTCACATGCAGGTCAGCGATAAAAACACCCCGTCCCTGTAGATTGAACGCATACAAAGATTTTGTAAGTGGTGGGTATATCACCTATATATATATTTATATACACACACATCTATGTAATGCATGCAAGTCTAGTAATTTCCTTTTCCTCCAGCCACTTATTCTTAAGTTTTAAACCAACCTGCATTTTTGCCATCTCCCGGACTATCCTGAGACATGCATTCCCTATCTGTTGATGTAGCATACAAACAGCATCAATTAATTTTTTATGATCATTTTTATGAAAAGAGAGTTCATCAGTGAATTGTTCATTTGTTAAGCACCATTGCATCCATGTCTCTCTGAAGTCCAAGGGTCAAGATGTCACTTCTGGAAAGGCAAGCTGGTCCGTCTTTGATGATGAGCTCACTTCCAGGTCTTGTCACATCCAGGACATAAATGATCTAGGGTAATGAGTATTAAAAAAATAAGCTGCAAACCAAATTCTACCACCCAGAACGCGTTTTTCTCTCTCAAATATAAAAAAACCTTCGGAGACCTACATTCACACATCCAAACACACACACTTCATTTTTTGTTTCATCCAGACACAGATTGCTTTAATACCAAGTTTTAATACCAAAGCTTTTATAAATTGTCATTTATGAATTGTCTTTTAAATTGTCATCTTTAAATTGTTAGTAATAAATTCTTAACTTTTTTTTAAACCTGACTCTTCTTTGAATAAAACACAGAGTGGTGTATATTTGGTCATTGGACGATCTCTTTAGATTTGCTATTAATTTAAATCTCTTAAATTAAATATTAATCTCTGGATTAAATATAGACCAAACCAGTTGGTGTATGAACTTCAATCGATTATATAAATATCCGTGGAGATATATATATATATATATATATATATATATATATATATATATATATATATATATATATATATATATATAAGTTTTATTACCAATTCATTTGATCTTTCTCAGAATTTAACAAAGCTGAATAGCAACAGCTTAAATTCTAGTTATGTAGATTAACAACGCTACATTAGTTTCATGTTGCTCATGTTTTACTGAAAACAACATGGTGATGAAGTGTGTTACTTTCTGATTCATGTAGTGACATGCTGTCTATCTGAACATCTTTGATGTGTGACCCACAGGAGGGACTCGGACTGGAGCTAATGACAGGACTGGTACAGACATCCAACACCACAGACAAATAGACCAATAACAATAAACCCACCTTCCTCCACCTCTCTCCCTCTGTAAGCTTTTCTCTTTCTGGAGATCTTCATCTCTTTCTTTCTGCTCCCTTTGACCATATATGGTATTACCTTGTTTGGGTTGAATCATCATACCTGGGACCTTGTGTTGTTTGATGCTGACGGGAGGTTGTGATTAAAGCCACATAAACGTGAAGGTGAGAGGTTTAAGGACACGGTCTGAGGTGTTGGCTTGTGTTTGTTTCCTCTGCGTGGCCTGGTAGGAGTTTTGTATCATGTTTCCACACAGCAGCAGCAACAGCAATGCCACGCCACGGCTAGCCTAGTAAAGCCTCCCAGCTTCGTGGTTGTGTGTGTCTGGAGTGTGTTATATTTTTGCAGAGGGCAACTTTAGCATAAAAACCTCACATTTAATTTCTAAATAACTCCAGACAAATCTCAAGTCCCATTTAAATCACTTTTAGACAAATGATCCAGCTTTAACACTTTTTAGAGAGTGACAGAACCTACACCGTAGAAATGAAAGTCCCGGCATTCCTTGCAGGACCTCACATGTCAGAGCCACATAAACGTGAAGGTGAGAGGTTTAAGGATGAAAAGTGATGGAATTGCATCCATTTGGTACCAACCTTGAAGACGGCATGATCCTACGTACCAAGATCTTAAACAACTAGCACTCACACTATCTGTTGTGCACGACTTTCAGCTGCTAATGTGAATATTTAGCTCTAAGATAGTCACTGTTTGTGTGGCAGCCATGTTATCTCAGTTTCAACAGTGATTCAGCGAACAGACAAGCAAACTGGGACAGATGAGTCTGAAATGGATCTTTTTGCAGAACAACGATCGGGAACATTGAGGTGGAGCAGCAGGAGATTATGTAGAGGATTAGTTCTTCTGCAGAAATCTTTCATTGCGAAAAAAGCTAATCGGAGTCTTTTATTTTGACATTTGGAATTGATGGACTTAAGTTAGAACCCCTTAAACAGAATGGTGTCAGAGCTTCCAGCTGCTGCAGATGTTTCTATGTGGACTCCATCAGAAAGGTTTAAGAGTTTTAAATACTGGGACTGACTTTTTAAATGTATGCCCATTTAAAAAAACTTTTTTGAGGAATTTTTGCGCAGTACGAATGTCACAAATCACCATAAATTAAATTAAGCATTTTTAATAAAACAAAACCACATTTTTGAAGCCCATCGGGAACAAGAAAAAGGGGCTCAGTGGTTTTTATTACCCAGCTCAGTGGCCTAGTGGTAGAGTGTCCGCCCTGAGACTGGCAGATCAGGGCTTGATTTCTGGTCGGGTCAGACCAAAGACTTAGAAAAAATGGGACCCAGTGCCTCCCTGCTTAGCACTCAGCATTAAGGGTTGGATTGGGGGGTTAAACCACCAAATGGTTCCCGAGCGCGGCTGTGTCTGCAGCTCACCGCTCCCCCAGGGGATGGGTCAAATGCAGAGAACAAATTTCACACACACATCAGTGTGTGTGACAGCTAATGGGACTTTAACTTGAACTTTATGTCTCATTTGAATATTCGATGTGTGTTTCGGTGCACAGAGGTTTGTTTATACACTGGCGGTAATCATTCAGCTGCATTTATCTGGCAACACATGATTTGTTTCTGTGTTTTGTGATTTATTACATTTACCAACATGTCTAAAAATAAGTTAAAAGTGAGAGTTAAAAGCACCCCTTTGCAGAAACCCCTTCCGTGTTCCGTGATGCCCTTGAAAGCAGCGTGCGCTGCGGCAGCCAGACCTTCTCACAAATCAGATCATGTGACCTCTAGCAGCGGAAGGGCAAAACTACATCCACGTAAATGTGAAGAGATTTTTCTCCTAATAAATTATAAGTTATTAAAAGGTAATCCTAAATAAAAAAACAATATTTAAAAACAGTAATAGATCATAAATTTCTAATGAAAGATGTCAGATGCAAATGAGTTATTAGTTCAAGACTACTCCAACACACACACACACACACACACACACACACACACGTGTGAATTAATCTGATATAACATAAAGTTGACCTGATTTTATTGACAGCTTTGAACTATTCTGTAAAACATTTTTCTGACTCAAGCTCAAATTCTCAACAGTAAAATGATATTTAATTATTTCTTTGCGCTGAACAAACACAGCTGAGTGTAGCATCTTTACTGTGGGCCGTTTCCTTGTTCAGTGCTTATTTTCAGTGGGTGCATGAGAGTTTTTGATAAACAATGATCAAAAACCTTGTAAAGACATTAATTTTAGTAACAATCTTTTTTGTGTGTCAGATTTTCAGTTATTTTCTATCTGCATCCTTCGAGATTAATGACGCCATTATTTTGTCAACTAAGGAGAAGTTTTAAAGTGAAAATGTAAATCTGTCTGTAAATACTTTCTCTTTCCTCCTTTTAATGCCATGCTCTCCCCTTCTTTCCCTCCAAGGGTACCGTGCCTCTTCCATCCATAAACGCCACGATCAAAGTCTCCACTTTATTGGTGTTAGATTTGACCTCTCACCCCTCTCTGGCAAATGTCAGCACTCCACATCCCTCTGCTCCAGCTGGTATAAATAAAGAGCCGAGGTCCCACTTCTTGCACATCCCTCGGATCCAGACTGTCTTGTAAACAACCTCTCAGACATGACCTTACTGAGAGGAAAGGGTCGTTACCATAAAGCAGGCCCATTGTGGATCGCATCGGTGCAGCCGAGTGAAAAAGCTCATAGCAATCGGCGGCTGGGATTTTTGTCAAACGTGTCAGATTAGAAGGAAAACACTTAAAAACCTAAAGTTTAAGCTGCAGATGACCTGGACCAGGATTCAGACATGTCAGCATGAACTCATAAACACTGCTTAGTTTGTGTTTTTTTTTTTATTCAGAGCCTCAAAGTCAAGGTGACTGAATTGAATTTTTATTCCTGACAGGTCACAAGATTGCACGTCTGTCTAATTAAACTGTCCAGCAGAGGGCAGACACACACTATTGAATTCACCCTTTTCCCCTTTGTCTGGAAAAAGTTTTTGTTCTTCTTCTGTTAAATAATTCTGGAGCTTCCTTGTTGGTGCCACGTCCTCCTCAGACAAGTTTTACTGGATGGCATTTACAAAAATCTGAACTTGTGACTCATTCTGTAACAAAAAGCCTTTGCACAGTCCTGAGGTGCAAAGGAAATCTTAGAAAGACACAGGGCCGGCTCCAGCCTTCGTGGGGCCCTGAGAAAATTTCTCTTTGGGGTGAGGGGGCCACAAGCAGAAGCTCAACTCACTTGAGCCTTGGGCCGGAAAGTTGGCAAGAAATATAAAACCAGACAGAATGTCTGAAAGTAAAATGACACAAAAATCAGATTTTGTTTTCTGAAACAAAATTTGTTTCATCGAGTTTGTTTTACAACATTTTTATTGACATTTTTTTCTTAGCTGTTGCATTTTGTCAAATCGTTGAGCTTGTCAGCATGTCGGAGTTAAAATTGTGCATGAAAACAAACCTCTGATGTAAAATTTCATGAAGATGTGATTCACTCTGTTTATATTTTGCAGCAGTCTGCTTTTCTGTATACAAATTAATTCCAGCCACCTGTAGAGTTTCTACATCAGCTTAGTTTAGGTCTTTGTAACTCAGAACCCAGTGCTGCTGGCCTCCTGCCCAGAAACACCCTATATCTGCAGCTAATGAAGCATAGCATTGGTGCCACACCGGGGAGCAGAGCAGAAGGAGAACACAGCAAAGATATACCAACGCCCATTACTTTTGACCTCGGTGAGAGAAAAATCCTGAGGGGCCAGTATTCACCCCCACCTCACCTCCTGCACCACCGCAAACTCAATTACATCCATCAGTCACTGGGTCCGAGTTCTGGGGTTCAGTCTCAGGACCCCTCAGGTAGGACTGGGTGGAAATTCACAAAATGTGGGAACAGAGGAGCTCCATAAATCACACCTGGTAATGAATGTGCTTCTTTCACAAGTGGTGTTTACGGCGTGTGCTAAGTCAGAGGAAAACAAGTCCGGATGGCACTTTTATTCAAACTGCAGCAGGAAAACTGAAAGGATGCAGAAACGAGAGGAAAATACAAAGAAAGAGAAAGCGCGGTGCTGTGAAAACTGGAGGAATGTGTGTAAGAGCGGTCAGAGCTGCTTCGGACGGAGGAGCGGCGGGTTGAGGGTGTTTGAGGGGTGGGGTGGGGGGGCTCTGTCACTGCCCCTTCTGGGTAATTGGCTCCAGATGTGAGGCAGCATGGCCCCTGCGCCAGAAAGGCGTCAGGGCCGCATTAAGAGCTCAGCTCAGGGCTGATGGGATCGCACTGACACAAGCTCACCCCCTCACACATGCACACACGTACACACACACACACACACCAGCATAAAACGTAAACTGGATTCCACAGAGCTGCTGATCTCCGCTGGGCCTCAACCAGAACAACACGGTTTCCTCCCGGAGAGAAAAAAGAAGCAACCTTCTGACCTCACATGTAAATAATAACAGCCTGTGAGGATTTAGACATCTTTAAAACACAGAAATCATTCTGGAGAAAAACAATAAGTTCTGCTCATGACGTCATTTTGTGTCATTTTTTTGTTCAGTCATTTCTCTTTTTCAAGAGTCTCTGATTCAAACCAGCAACTTATTTGCTGCAGTTTTTATGTCAGAGTTGTTTGGACGACATAAAGAGGTGAGTTAGCCTGTAGACTCGAGTGACTCAGCTATGCAGCAAACCACTCGATCAAGTTTCACCCCAAAAACACCTCCACTTTGCTGCTGCATGTTTATATCAGGATTTCTTTACCAACTTTGGCAAGACATTGGTGTATTTATTCAATATCCTTGAAACCAATAGGTCTGTATCACTAGTTGGTGTCTACATTACACCATTTAGATATTTCGCCACACTAGAACATTTACTAGTATCTAATTTTGCCAACTAGCGACAAGTTGTACAAGTCAGCCAAAGTGAGTTACTAGTGCCCGCAAAGCCCTAACTAGTTGGAATTTATGCATTAATGCATGTTAACTACCCAACACAAATTCTGCCTAATTGTGGACTAATGCAAATAGAAATATTAGCTAATCAAATAGTGAAGCCAAAATGCTCATTAGTCAACCAGCTGATGCTTCTTTCATTTTTACTAGTTAATTAGTTGAGCTACAAATGTTAACAAGTGCTTGTAAAACATAAACCTAACTAGTTGGGCTTAAATATTCACTAGTTGACCAGTGTAACCAAGTTTGATTTTACTAGTAAGGTTAAAAATAAAAGAGTCAAAGTGACTAGTGAGTGTTTATGACTACTGGTCAACTAGTTAAAGGTGTGGATCACTCATTAAATCAATACAACTGCAGCGGTCTCCAGGAATTAATGTCTTATAAGTCGTAGTCAGAGGGGAAAAAAAACACAGGTGCACCATTTCCAGGAACTAGAAGTCAGCCACATCACAGCCGAACTTCAGACGGCAGGATATGGCTACTTCCTGATATTTGGACATCTCGCCTCGGATTGGACAACAGCAATGCAATGCTACCACTGACTTGCAACGTTGATGTTTTATCTCCACAAATAACCCAAGACTGGTGGAGTTCTGCTGTGTGGTGGAGTTGCTCATACTAATGGTTAGCTTCTACTAGCTGAGATGTTCTCAGCTGTTTCCTTGACGCTAAACCAACAACAGCCTTCCTCGTCGTGAGCCAAGATGGGTGAGTCCATGAATGTTAAGCGACAGAGTGACGTAGATCTGTCAGGTTTTTCAAATCCTAAAGTTTCATCATCTATTTTCTATCTGAAGCTAATGCAGGAGATAGGTGTAAGAGACTGTTTTCATGTTCATCCTGCATGACAAACTCAGTGACCGATTATAATCAGAAATAATCATCAAAAATGGGTTTTCAGTGTCCCACACCTTTAAACTGTTTTAGCCACATTAGTTGACAAGTTGACATTTTTAGGTGCACTAGTGATCTAGTAAAGTCAAAATGGTGTCAGCTATGAAGTTTTTGGATCTTAGTTGACTAGTTAATCTGACTGTCAGCTGGTTAACGTGAGGGTGAGGTAGTTTTACTACTTTGGTCTGGTGGTCAACAAGTCCATGAGAAAGCAGCATTTAGGCTTACTAGAACAAATTTAGCTCCAACTAGCATGCAGAAAGTGTCTCACTAAGTGTTTTTGTTTAACTAGTGCAGCAGTATGTCCAGCTAGTGTAGTGGAGTCACAGGCAGTACCACAAAATGATGAATAAACATACAAATGGCTTGCCACATTTACCAGGAACCGTAAACTTGCCTTTCAATCTGATTTAATACAAAGATGAGATAAAGTGTGTTTTAGTGACGAGAGCATCTGGTGTCTCAGAAAGAGGAATGCCGTGACTGTGACACAAAGAGCATGTTTACTGATAAAGCGTGGAAATTGATTCAAAGCAGAAAAGCAGCATGGATTGACGGTGGACAGAGACAAAGGGGAGGACGGTGGGGAAAGACGACACCAAGAGCGCTTCATCAGCGATGGCACTTGCATATTGATGACATTTGTTGAGTTGCGGTCCGCACCGTGACGAACAAGGAAAACCACTCATCATGCCAGCCGGCATTAAGAAGGCTCACATGCAGAGACCCTGGAAGTACCTCTGGGTTGGGGAAGCCTATTGGACGAGATTATGCGGGTAAACAGAAAGCAGATGTGTGTGATTTTTAGCTCCGCTGCAGTTTTTGACATCAACAACCTGTGACAGCACACTGAACTAATACAGAAACACCAACAGGAAGAGGAAGTTAGACTGTTGCATTACTGACTTGGCTTTCTGCAGGTTTCCACCTTCCACGTCCCCACAAAGGCAACACCAGCAAACTTAAACCATGTCAAAGGTCAACCTCTAGACACTTGGATCAGAAGAGCTCCAAGAACCCATCTGAGACCTCTTAGAACAACAGCAGAGGCTTCCAACAGGATCTTAGATGCGGTCCACCATCCTTCCGTCCTTTAACCCTGGGAGACGGTGTTGTCATGCTCCTGGACACGGGCCCGAGGTGTGAGCGAGTTTAACCAAACAAAAACACTCCCACCCTGGGCCGAGGGCCGCGGCCCCATCAGGCCTCCATGAAAACACGTTTATTACACACAAACAGAACTCGGAGAGAAAATCGGTTTATTTCTGACTCGTTTTATAAAGGAGGGAGATAATAATGTCCGTGAACTAGAGCTGTTAAGAGTTGGACACTAGGGGGTAATCTTGTGCTACGAACGAAGCACGCTCCTTAACAACATACTTTACATTAGACACCCTACTTGTTTTGTTTATATTAACCGATTTGCTCCCTCACTTCTTTAAAGAAATGGATGAAAACGAGACTTCTGCCTGGATGGCAGCCCGCCCGGTTCCTTAGATCAAAAGCAGAAGTCAGAGAGCGGCTGAGGGTTTCAGAGGCGGCGTAAAGACAACCCGAACAGCGTCGCGTTCAGCGACGTGTAGAGCATGTGGTTTTCATTAGGGTTTGCATCCCTGTCTATCTAACATGCAGACAGACATCTCAGCGGTTAAATGAGCAAACTGACACGCCGTTACATAAATAATCTCCCTTTTCATTTAATGCCAGCTTTCACGCCCCTCTGCATCACCAGTCGTTTGAAAAAAAGCAAAACAAACAAAATAAAGAACTGACAGAAACAGAAATACATCAAAAACAGAAAAACAACAGCGGAAGGATTTAGGAATAATTAGATTGTCCAACAAATTCACACACATGTAGATTTCTATAAAGTGCTTGATAAAACAATACAATAAAGATTAAAATACACACTTATGGTTTTTGTTTTTTCTCTTTGGCACCAATAAGATAGTAAAACATTCCCTAAATTAAGCAAATAAATTCAAAGATACTTTGTTAATCCCAGAGGGAAATTAGAGTTTCAGTACACACAATTCTGAGATCAGACATGGGCATAGACACATGACAAGAATTGGTGACTGTGGTCATTCGCAACCCGAGTGTTTCTGAAGTGATGCTCCGGCCTGTTTCTCATTTCTCTTTCTACAAATTCAGTTTTTTGTAATTTCCCCTTTGCTTTTTGTTGTTTTTGATGCGTTTAGGGAGTCATGATCCAAGTGATGATGATGGTAGAGAGGCTGATAACTCCCATCATCACCCCAAAGATGACAAGAAGAAGTGCCTAGTGACAAGAAGACCAAGAAAAACAATGAGTGCAAAGAGTTAAACGGATCACAGTGACGCACTGTGTGGGTTTACCCCGACTGAGTCGACAGATTTGAGGGACGATCTGCTGATCTTGAGGTAGAAGATGCCCGGAAAAATAAAGAGGAGGCAGGTGGACGTAGTTGATCCTGAGAAACAAACAGGAGAGCCTTTTTAATCTGCACAGACAACAAGCTGCATGTCTGATAGCAGCTTCATAAACCATTAATGCTGCATCAATTATGCAGAAGCAGACAGTGTAATTTCAGAAGTGGAAATCGATATCTGTGGAATATTGAAATGTTAGCTGCTTTTACTGTGCCTTTTGCATTAAAAACTGATTAACCAGCAGAAACTTGCAGTTCTTCTCCATTATTTAGAATTACACACCTACGATCCCAAACACAGTCCTGATATCTGGAACAAAGATGGCCAGCATCAGCACCACGCTCAGGATGATCAGGGTTGAGATGATGTGGATCCGCCAGGAGAAGCTGCGACCTCCAAACAGCAGCAAAATCATCGCCTTACGGGCCTGCAGGTTTCACTTAGATCAAGCTCGTTTGTTTCATCACACTTATAAATTAGAAAACGTGTTTTTCGGTCACTCACGGGGAAGTGTATGAGCGGTACGGTCAGCAGCACCGAGAGGAGGATGGCCACCCGCACAGACATCACCATGATGTCTCCCAGCAAATAGTAATCATAGCCAAGCAGCAGCTCAGATTTCACATGACCTACAAGCGGTGATGAGATGAGCTAGGGCGCAGACGGAGCGGGAACCTGGTCGTGTGTGTCCCTGCAGGCTTACCGTAGAAGGTGAGGTACCCAAACAGAGCAGAAATGAAGTACAGCAGAAAGCTGAGGCCGATGCCAATGTTGGAAATGTTCTGCATTTTAGACTTGGAGGGTCTGAAAGACACCAGATGTTCACTGAGCGTTGGTCACCAGCAGGTTCTTCCATTAAAAAATTTAAAAAAAGCTGCGGACCTTTGCAGTTCGCAGTAGATGGGCAAGATAGCCGTGTGGCACAGGAAGGAGAAGGCCATGGTGGGGATGGCGTAGGCACTCTGCAACAACCGTCAGCTGATCATTTTTAAAACATGCTTATTTATATTATTTAGTTAATTATTTTATTTTATATTTATTTTCCACAGAAACACAGAAGGACATTATTTCTGCCATGTGCTAAATGCAATAATGTGTACATGTGGCCCCAACGTGCAATATAAATGAGTGGCAGCTGTACGGCGCTCCACTCAGCTTTCTCATAAAAACACACCGATCCCTCGTGGGTGAGAGAGTGATCTGTCAGCAGAGTCAAATAAAGGGCGTTCAACAACTTCTCACTGCCACCGCCGAAGGTAAAACACAATAAATCCAGATACCTTAACGGAGACGACGAAGAGTTTGGGCGTGCAGTCTGACGCTGAAGAATTCGATACCTGCAGAGACACAGAAAAAGCAAGAAAATGGTTTTGTTTCTTTTATTGTTTCCTGACCTTCTGCAGCAATTAATCGTGCAAGTCCACGGTTTATCTTTTATACTAAAGGAAAAAATGAAAATTGTTCCATGAATGAATCAATGTAAGGTCTGGAGTTGCAGCTGGGTGTAGAATTCCTAAAAGTCAGAGTTCATTTCCAGGATCAGACAGGGTCACCTGGACTTCCTTCCCTTTAGGACTGGCTTTATTCACCGTGCACAGCTCTCTGCAGACTCTGGTCCTCATCAGCCGACCCTGACACAATCGGTAAACTCAATATCCTGAGTTTTTCCCCTGATCCCATGGCCATGGCCGTCTGGTCACAGCTACAAACCTCAGAACAACACCTTTTTTAGAAGCAGCAAAGGGCTTAGTCACCTCCAAACCTTTAAAATGAGCCATGATGTAGTATCACTAAGGAGTCAAATGATGCAAATGTGCACAATACTCATTATTAAATATTTTGAACTTGCAGAATATATTCCTTAAATTAATCAAAGGAAAACTTTGACTGATACAAATGAATAAACTTAAATGAAAGAGGCTGGTGTTAAAAATAAATCTTTTAAGTTTTTAAGAGCAAACATTTCTGTGGAAGGAGACCAAAAATTGCATTCATATCTGGGGAAACAGAAACATCATAAAAGCAATAAAACAAAGTATAAAACAACTTTGTAAGCAACATTCAATAGAAAATGACAGTTCAGCATGTTTGGTGGACCTGAACGCATCACAATAACAACACACTGAGGCACGGAGGCGGTAGCATGATGATGTGAGACTACATAAGGAAAAACACCAGGATGACAAGTTCTCCTGATTTTCAGAAATGGAGAAGCTGAAGGATAATCAAGGAGTATGAGTAGGAATGTGCGATACGTCAACATCGGTACTGGCCCGTGTTAGCCTTTATTAAACATTGATATAAACCTGAAACATAAAACAACCAATCTTTTATTTTTCATCTAGTTGCTGTTTGTGTATCTGTTTTGGGAGGGATGGGGTTGTCATGCCATACACACACATACACACACATGCACACACACACACACACACACACACACACACACACACACACACACACACACACACACACACACACACACACACACACACACACACACACACACACACACACACATATAAATAATTTTTTTAATGTATATATTTAGATATATACATTATAAAACTGGTAAATTCGGTTATCATATTTATATCCAATTTATATCCTGACACTAATATCGGATCTCAATATCAGTTCAAATATTCACAATGGTGAATCCCTAATTATAAGGGCACTACCAAAATCCCATAAGGACGCATCCTTGTGGATTTTTTTTTGTTTTTAAGTGAAAAAGACAACTGAACAATTCCAGTAAAACAAGATTGCACAAAAACAGCTTAAGCAACTTTGCGTATCGCTCTTCCACAACAAGAGGGACTGAGAATCTTCTAAATCGTCTAAACTGTTTTCTAAAAATGCTACATTTGAAATTAACTCTTTGAATTTACTTTTCCGTTATGACAAAGACCCCGACCCTTCACTTTCCTTGTGTCGTAGTCGGTACTTTAAACCTACCTCGAAGGTCCCTCTAAGTCTTGTGCCATTTTGAGGCAGGGGACAGGGAATGGACCATTTCTTGACCACGACCTAGAGACGAGGCCACGTAACAAGTCAGCAACAGAACAACAATCAACCAATCAATCACTTTATTAAAGACACAAGAAGGTCCATAACAGTTAGTAAAAAAATAGATAATTAAAATAAGTAAAATACATGCAAGCTATTTTAGGCTCACATAAAGGTAAAAACGCCAATAATTCAACGTTAGAATAAAACATGACCGAACTCTGTGTAGGGTTTGTCGGGGACTGGATTATACTGTTCTTAGAGTCCCTTAATCTACACATACAACTGTCCATGAGATACCGTCTCACTGCAGGGCTTGTAGGTACTCCCACACTTACGAACGTTGTGCTTGCAGTGCACCATCTTGGCAATCTAAGCATTGTCCTTAACCCATCATCATATGCAACAGTGAGTTGCTGCGTTGCTTGTAGCGCCTCCATAGGTGGGCAGTGTACGGGTACAGTATACTTTAAACAGTGCAGTTTGCACAGGTACAGAACACATTCCAAATCTACGTATCAGTGTGTTCGCCTGTGCATACAGTCGACGGCACTGTCTGTAAATGTCCACATCGTCTGTCAGGTCAGCAGATATGTGATGTCCCAAATATTTAATCACAGTACATTCATTTAGAACACCAGATAAAAGGAAATCTGGAAAAACCAGCTTACTGTCCTCCTTACTTCTCACAATTAAAATAAGACAAACAGTCGAAAGATTGTGTTTAGGCCAGAACTTACCACGACAGTAAAATACAGTATGAAGATGAAGGAAATACTGCTGGTGTAGCCCAGGAAGCCTGTGAAAGTGACATCCAGTAAGATCCAGTGAATCACACCAGTATGATGTGAACATCTGAACGCTTGCTGATCTACAAACTTACCGATTTTAGGCAGCAAAGATAAAGGCAGAACAACAAAGACTGTGATCATGACCAGAAGCAACTTGCCATTTTCATACCACACAGTCCTGAAAGGCATAAGAGAACACATACTATTAAAGGTTTACTTTAAATAAGCTATATGTCTGTCATTATTATTACTATTATTTCCTGTGTGTTGAAATGCTTTGAGACGGACCAGCTCTGGGAATTTGTCCCCATTTTGTGCTCAAATAGGAAGCGACAGATTCATCATGTGGTACGAATTAAAGGCTTTAGCTCTTGCAAATCATAACAATTATGTAATTCACATACTAACGTTGTGTCGCTCCGTCAGATGAGACCAGATTTCTCTTTCTGGGTTTTTAGAGAGGAGAATAATATTTTCATTTTGCTGAGGAGCAGCCTTGGCGGTTTATTTGGGAGTAGACGGCGTAGGAGGAGGGGCGGTGTCCAAGTGACATGTGGAAAACACGCCGTTCCCGCTGGGGTCAGGGTTGGGTAAGAAGGGTGCTGCCTGTTGCTGTTTGTTGGACCGCAGTGTGGGGTCATAAAGGACTGGCTCCGCTTCTCTTTATGAGGGTTTCCAGAGTCAGCAGCACCTGCTCCGACCACATCAACACCCACTGACCCCTGCTTGGCACTTTCACAGCTGTGGCGTTACCATCGGCGCTGATGCACTCGTCTCAGAGTGTCTCACATACTGCCCCATAACCGGATGCCAGGGAGATATCCAGAAATAGGTTTAAAATAAAGCAGCTTCAACAGATTTGCTAAAAAAATAAAAGATTTCCACTCAAGAGGTTCAGAGTTTATGGCGGGCGGAGGCTGGACTATGATGCTAATTAGTCCACATGGCGCTGACGATCTAAATGAAGAAGATGCAGTTCTCTCCTTTAGCTGTATGTTTTTGTTCTGGCTGCACTCTAAGAAATGAAATGTAGAATTTACTAAACCAAGTTATGTCAACTGGTTCCACTAAACCAAGAGTAGGCAACCCTGGTCCTAGAGAGCCACAGTCCTGCTTGTTTTCAACTATCGTTGTTCCTGCTGTTGATTACCTGGATCAGGTGTGTTCAGCTAATTAGAAGCTGCCAGTCCATGCATGGCTGGAAAACATGCAGGACTGCGGCTCTCTAGGACCAGGATTGCCTACCCCTGCACTAAACCTAGTTGGCTAAATGCAAAGAGTACGATACATAGATGTGTAAAAAGTAAATGTACTTTCTAGTTCAGTGGTTCTCAAAAGGCGGCCCGCAGCCCCCCCTCTTTGTCCCCTCCACCTCCCCTTACCCTAATAGCGGATATTTTCTAATCCGCTTTGCCTTACGCCCTGGATCGCACAAATGTTGTACTGCAATTTAAATGAAAAGTAATGATGGGTGTTTCAACCACGCCAGTCACATAATTTGAGATTTATTAGCTTGTAAAAGTTCGTAATTAGCATGACTACACACTAGAAATCGGCACGTCGCATATGTGGCGCCACCACATAATCTCCCCTCCCCTAACGTAGTTGCTACTTACCAAATGACCAGATTTATGGTGGTTCTTTCCTCCTGTGGGAAGTTCGCTGAACTTACAGCCCTTTTCCCTCAGTTTTCTCTGTGTCTGGTTCGATGACGTCACTTTCGTGAAGCACATTTGTAGTCCTGGACTTATTCTCACGCAAAACCTAAGATAGCGTTTCCCCCTGTTCGAAAATAAACGTGTTCTTCGTATCAAAATGTGTCTTTAAAATTCACGGACATCATATGTGAAATCCTTGGCACAAAACAAGCAGAATTAGAAAACAACGTTTTTAGTCCCGTTGACTTGCATTCATTTTCTTTGTTCTTCCGGGGACCCGTGGTCCGGAAGTGACTTAGGCTCCCTATTCCAGCAGCAGCACCCCCACCTGGTCCTGCATGTTGAGTGGCCCTCGGACCACTACAATTGAGGACCCCTGCTCTAGTTACTAGGTTTAGTGGAAGCAGTAGTAAATTCTACATTTCATCTCTTAGAATGTGTAGCATAAAAAACCCATAAGAGAACGACTGTTACTACAAATTGGGGCTGAACGATTAATTCGATTTTGCCGTTGAGGAAGATTCAATGTCTGGAAAATCTGATGTTTTTCCACTCTCGGGCATTCGTAGTTCAGAGTACCGTATTTTCCGGACTATAAGCCGCTACTTTTTTCCCATGCTTTGAACCATGCAGCTTATAATGAGGTGCAGCTTTACTGATGATTTTCCTTCACCTGCAGGGGGCGCTTTAGCAGAAAGTGAAACAGGTGGAAGTCAAAAGTGGAAATCGAAGAAAGTGCTCATTTTAATTTAGCACATGCAAGCAGCCGGCACGACAAATAATTTTTTTCATATCCATACCCCCTCATCATGGAAACTACACGTATGAGTTCATATGATGCCGCATTTAAGCTGAAGGCCATCGATCTGGCAGTAAAGGAGGGAAACAGTGCTGCCGCACGTGAGCTTGGCATGAATGAATCCATGGTTCGGTGCTGGAGACGGCAGCAGGAAGAACTCATTCAAGCCAGCTTCACCCGGGGATGATGACAGCAACACGGACAGCAACACTGACATCGCCACAGAAAAGGTACGTGACGAAGCTCTTCTGAGGCTATTCAACTCCGACACTGAAGAAGAGGACTTTAATGCGCAAGAGGAAGATGAGAGCGAATGACTTCTTCTGGTAGGCAGGTGTGTTTTATTTACTAACCAGGCATGTTTTGTGTGCAGTTTTTATTTTCTAATCATCCAGGGCTTATTAATGCTGTGTCAGCGCTGGTCTTTTCTTCTAAACATGCATGCAAATTACCGGTAATAACGTGTCAGTTCTGTTTTTCTTTTATAACCATCCAGAAATATGAATGCTATCAGTGCTGTTTTCTTTTCTAAACTTGCAGGCACGTTCACCCGTGTTTAAAATTCATTTTGTTGAATTAAAACAACAACGAAAAACCTCCGTGTAGCGTCTTTCTGTCTAATTATCTTATGTTATGGCCGTACATGTGCTGTGCGCCGGAGACCTGCATGTGGCTGCTGCGCCGCGGCTTGTATTCGAGTGCAGCGTGTGTGTGTAGAAAACCTTTTTTTTTGTTGGTGTGGCTTATATTGATGTGCGCTCTATAGTCCGGAAATGACGGTAAGTTCAGCCTGCATGTCTCTTATAACGCATACAACACTGTTCAACAAATGTTTTTCCCACAAAAACAATTTTTTATTGTTTAAATCTTAGTAAAAAGAAGTTGGAAGTTACTTTCGAGTTTTCAGTCATGCTGCCATTAAAGAAACATGTCCAGACGTTCACTGAAACCCAGCCAGTAAGCGCTGCTGCTAGTGGTTAGCTTTCAATAACCAGTAGCATTAGACATTCACTTAAGCACATATCAATCACAAAGCGTGCATTTGTGGAAATGCCTTTTTGAAAGTACAGTACTGTGCAAAAGTTTTAGGCAGGAGTGGATAAAAATGATATAAAAAATAATTATTTTGGAAATATGCATAATGATTATTTAATTTGATCAATTTACAAATTGCAAAGTGAGTGACTCCAAACATCCAGTCATTAAGAATGATCTTTAGCATAAAGAAGAACAAGAAGTCCTGGAAGCGATGGCCTGGCCCTCACAGAGCTCTGATCTCAACATCATGGACGTTGTCTGGGATTACACGACGAGGCCGAAGTCTAAGTTCACACTTATGCACAGTAAAGTATAATCTGTCATTCATGAATTTGTCATTCATTTGAGAAAGAAAAGGGAAAACATTGATTGAAATTGAAAATCGGATTTGAAGCGAAAAAAATCCATCCATCCATTTTCAGCCACTTATCCGGAGTTGGCTCGCGATGGCAGCAGCCTAAGCCGAGACGCCAAGACTTCCCTCTCCCTAACCACTTGGGCCAGCATTTCCAGGGAAATTCCAAGGCGTTCCCTTGCCAGCCGAGAGACATATTCTCTCCAGCGTGTCCAGCGTATGGGTCTCCTCCCGGTTGGACGTGCCCCGGAAAACCTCACCAGGGAGGTGTCCAGGAGACATCCTGACCAGATGCCCGAGCCACCTCAACTGGCTCCTCTTGACGTGGAGGAGCAGCGGATCTACTGCGAGCCCCTCCCGAATGACTGAGCTTCTCACCCTATCGCTATGGGAGAGCCCAGCCACCCTGCTGAGAAAACTCATTTTGGCCATTTCCGCTTGTATCCGCGATCTCGTTCTTTCAGTCACTACCCGAAGCTCATGACCATAGGTGAGGGTAGGAGCATAGATCGACCGGTAAATCGAGAGCTTTGCCTTCTGACTCAGCTCTCTCTTCACCACGACAGACCGGTACAACACCTGCATCACTGCAGATGCAGCACCAATCCGCCTATCCATCTCACGCTCCAGTTTTCCCTCACTCGTTAACAAGACCCCGAGATACTTAAACTCCTCCACTTGGGGCAGGACCTCATCCCTGGCCTGGAGAAGACATTCTACCCTTTATCGATTTAAATGAAAGAAATCTGGGATTTTATTTTTAAGCCGCATCGCCCAGCCCTACCCCAAACAGAAAACAACTGCTCTGCCTCCGCTGCGTTGTGATAAACGAGCCGACAATAAGCAACATGCTTTAATATAACACGACTCATTCATTCAGGCTTTGACGGAACCGAGAGCATGCCTGTTAACATCCCAGAGCCGCTCATTAACAGAAATGTTTCGCTCCCCTCCGCAGTGATCTGTAATTAGAATGGCAGAACTGATATCCCCTTGTATCAGTCTGATTCTGGGGAACATGTGGGAGAGATTTGGGGTGGGAGTGGGGGTGAACAGAGCACTAATACAGAGCAGCTGTGTGTGGAAGAGTCAGACGTTGACAGATGGGGGCTGAGAGCTGCTACAAGTCTCGCTTAAACCAGTGTGGCCAATAATAAAGTGATATACGTTACAATCTTGGCTGTGGACTCTTCTGTGTGTGGGTGCTGCTGATCAGTGATGAATGGCTCCTTTTGTCAATAATACATTTCCTTTAGGCTCCATTTATGTTACTCAGCGGAGATACAGCTCAGAGGCTTTCTTAAGTGGAACTATTTATCTATTCTGCATTCCTGTTTGTGTAATTTTGAGGCGCTAAAGTGTCAAATCTGACTTATTTAAAGGGCAAAAGTATCATCCAGAACATCTTGGGAACAGGAATGACTCATTTGTTACTTTAGCGCAGCTAGTTTAGAAAAATGGCTCCCCCAGCAGCTGTTTTCTTTGTTTTATTTTGTTATGTTTTGGCAAAAGATGGAGCTCACAGTGATTTATGTACCCACCCTGTGTTTTCTACACCGAGGAGGCTGCAGATGGCTGCAGGAAGCTCCGACTTCAGGATGAACAAATAGGACGACATGGCTGAGGGAAGAAACAGATTCAACAAATAAATGGACATAGAAGAAAACACAGACCATCATACCAGACTTTTTTAAATGCTTCAATGCTAGCTCAAGCATGTGATGTGTTTTTTTTTTTCCAGAGAGGAAAAAATGACAAAACACCACAGAAATGGGTGGATTTAGTTCAGTAGGATCATGGCTAAAGCCGCAAAGAGTAGAGAAGCCCATATTTTTTAATGTTTTCAAACACTGGAGAGCAGCCAGGATGGAGATCTGTGAGAGGAAGGCTAACAGTAATGATCTCTGACACTAATCCAGGTACTTCCACCCTTTCTCCACCTCACTAGGAAACGAGATACTTCCCCTGAATGCTCAGGCAGCCAATCAGAAAGAGAGGAATGGGGTCCCTTCCTAAGGGTTGACCCCAAAAACACTTCAGGAGGAAGAAGAAAACAGAACACGTTTAAGGGTGTGTCAGACGCAGCGTGTGGTCAGTCATGAGAGGGCGTACAGCTACAGGATTGAGGTCTGTGAAAATGGGCAAGTGCAGAGCTAGCTGGGGCCTGACTGCCCCTGGGGGCAGGTCTTGCACTCTCCCTTTAAATAATCCTAGCCATAATCCCTCCAATCCTGTATTTGTTTATAAATGAGAATTCCTCCCACAGCCCCTCCAGCCCACACAGAAACAAGCATGTTCTGTCTGAGTGGGACTACTGGCATTAACGAGCGCTCAAATCCGTCAATAATAAGTTCAACTGAGGCAGAAAAAGCTCCTCCATCCATCTGAAACACACCAACGGGGAGGAATCACACAAAACAGGCATGATGCAGTGGTTTAGTTTCATGCATCTGGTTACATTAAACACAACAACACGTCTACGGGAAATCCTGGTGCAATACTTACATCGCTAAACACAAAACAGCCCTTGGGTGAATAAAGAAGATTGAGAAAATTGTTATTTGCCAAGTGGTTAAAAACAAAACAAGACAAGAATCCAGTAACAAATATGTGAAGTTCAAGGAGAAGTGAGGTAATTCCTCTGCGTGTGGTCAGCAAATAGCTGGAGAGCGTGTCCAACAAAAGACCGAGCCACTTTCGTTTCATTAAGAGCCAGGAGAGAGGCAGGCTGTGAGAGCCAGGGGCTGGTCAATAATTAAGGTCAATTGGCCCGTCAGCCTTCGGTGGTGCAGATGAATGTTTACCCAGAGAGAGGCTAATTGCAGTCTTTTAAAAGGAGCTGGGGGTATGGACAGATGCTAGCTGGAGAGCTGGCTCTGAGTGTTGCACATACTGCCCCATGCTGGGAAAACCGCAAACACAACAGAGTGCATGGTGGTAGCCTACTCAGCGTGCCAGTAATGATGGTGTAAGAGCGATCGCCTCTGCTCCCAGCTGCAGAACGAGTGGCGGTCTGAGTGAAAGATACACAAAAGGTGGGAGGGTTTACTGTTGGTGATCAGTTTCAGGCCCAGCAGAGAGGCTTTGGGGTCAGAGGTTATCAGGGGATCTAGGTAATAGCCTTACAGGGACTGGGAGGAGAGGGGAGATGACGAACCTGAGCAGAGGTTCCCGCTGTTCACCAGCAGGAGGCAGTATCTTCCCCAACATAAACAAACAGACCCTGCAGCATTCCTCTCCCACTCAGCTTCTCATAAAACCACATAATCTGTTTATGTCGAACATGTCAGGAATAATATCTGTGTGTGGTGGTGGTGGTGGGGGTGGGGGGGCTGACTTACCACCAATATTTTGGATGAGGATGGTGACTCCAACCAGAACCTGGAGGAATTTTTTAGAGTTGTTAGCAGGAATTATCTTCCTGATTCCTGGTGTGAACTGAATGGGCACATTTTCAGCAGTAAAGAAGAGACTCACTTTTCCTGGTTTCTGTAAGGCTTTCTCTCCAAGGCCTTCATATGAGTTAATGCCTAAAGTATAAAAAAAAAGCAGTTTTAGTAACGCTTCAGGTGCTGAGGACGTCCAGAGTTGGACTGGAGGTTTTGTTTGTGGTGTCTGGAACTCATAGATTTAATGGAAATCAATCACGTTCATATCTTGCCATTGTCTTTCTTTAACCAAATCATCATCTGACACAAACAGTTGGAAAGATGCATCAGATAGTTTTGCAACAAAATGATTAAATCGGAAGTAAAAAAAAAAAAGGAAAAGGCAGAGTTCAGGGTGTGAAGTCTAACAGGATAGTTTTGGATGAACCTGCAGGAATGTGTTATCAGGAGCTGGACTCTCACCTGTTTCATCACAAAGCTTCAGAAGGAGATGTAAAGAGAAGGCTGCCAGGAAGGCCACCAGCACCAACAGGGTGCTAGAGAGGAAAAGCAGCTTGTAGTTTTAATGTGAACACAGCATAAATCAAAAGGAAAAGTGCATTCTTACCAAAAACCTACTATTCCTGTGCCCGCCATGGCATAGGCTAGACCCAAAATCCCGCTGCCCATGATGGCATTCATCAGGTTAAAGACAGATGAGGCGAAGGAGGCTCCTGTGGTTCTGGGTTGCACTGATCCCTGCACACACAGCAAATAAAAAATACAAAGAAGAGTCAGCCTTTAGGTATGAAAAGAAGCAGCTAAAGAAGGTTTGTAGCAGCCTTAGGTGGATTTCTTATGACAGTAAGAACAACTGGCTGGGCCTGATGATGGAAGTCATAAAACAACATAGCAGAGGCTTGCAGGATCAGGGACTGGAAATGGGAATGAACAGGCTGGGATTTGAGCTGCTGGCTGTGGGACAGCTGCCTGAGCTCAGGATAAGGGGAGCTGCCCGAACTGCTTGACCTCTCTAATGGGGGATATCCTGGATAGAACGACTGGCAACTCTGATGTCACAACAAGCTTGGATTGACCTGCAGGCCGGTCAGCCAGATTCACTCCGTTACAAGACAGGAAGTAAACTTAAACAACTAGATGGATCAAAATACACTGGCAGCAATGCACAAAACTACAGCTAGTAAGATGTTAAAAAGAACTAGATTATTGTTTGTATATCCTTGTTGGGTAACATTGGTAAATATGTTTATGTTCTTTATGTCTTGTGATTGAAGTCACATTTATTATAACCTAATAAGAATAAATGTATTGCCATGCTTTCTTTTATTTATATGAGGGTTTTTGGGGAAGGGGCTATCATAGAAAGCACTAACAATGCAAATTTGTTCTGGAGACATAGTCAGATTGCCTTATGCTCGTAAATAAACCTTAAAATAAAAAAACATGGATCCAGATTTTGCAAATCCTCTCAATGTCTAATGTGAAACTAATGTCACATAACAAACATCTAAGCATAAAACATAAAAAATGGCTATTTCACTCATTAATTTTCTAGCATGTGACTCTGCTGCTGATTCAACTTCATTGGCTCTGGGTTTATAAAATGTTATAACAGAGGAATGTTTCAACCTTTAGTCCCCAGCAGGTCTCTGGGTTCCTGTGGTCAGGGCATGCTGATGGAGCCACATTCAAAGTTATAAACTAAAGAAGCTAAAGCCTTTTCTATAGTGGCCTTCAGGATCAAGCTTTTAACCTACTTAAGCTCAGATTTGTTTCATGTTTTTGCTTCACTAATGCTGATGAGTTCATTCTTATAAAGGAGTATAGTGTTACAGGAATCTTAAATGAGAATTTTTTGTCAAAATAATTGCGGAAAGTAACTTAAAAAATTCTACAGATGAATGTAGAGATAAAAAAATAGTTAAAAATTACCTCCTCATTAAAAGTCTAACTAAAATGGACAAAGATGAAGGAAATACGTTTAAGACGTTGTAGTGTACAAACTGGTTTTACTTCAAATTTGCTGAATTTCATGCTGGTATTCTTGTCTATTTGCATCAGTAAAATATTTGATGTAATTGTGAGTGTAATCTCTTTTGAATACAACACTTTATGAGAAGTCTGACACCCATTTTGCCTCCATCAGCAGAATAAAAGCTGACAGAGGTAAAAAAGAAACTGAAAATGTCTATCCGCTCACGTGATCAGGCTCACATCAGGAGTTTGCCAATTTAAAAACACCATTCTCCAGCACTAAGGTGTGAAATAAAAAACCTACATCTGTATTAATACTCACATTCCCTAATAAAGGTGTCGTCTCACTGCTCTCCGGGTTTCTGGAAGCGCGATCGGTGTAAAAATCCGTCTGCGTGCTGCCGTTGACGCTCATTTTAAACAATATAAAAAGAAAACAACCAGTCTGGGGTCAAAAACCAATACCTGCTGTCGGCGGGACAAGTAAAGGTCTCTTTGTAAACATTTTCTCCTTCGGACACGTTTTAAATCTGCTCTCTTCTTATCAGTTTGTCAGCTATTGTTGTTGATAACCACATTCCGTCACTTCCGTCGCACATTTTAGAGGACGGAAAGAAACAGTCCAATCAGAGGCCGGTCGTCTCTCTCGACCAATCAGCAGTCAGCTTTGGTCCAACATTGATGACGACATTTCAGCACGTTCTGAACGGAGGATGTGGAGGTGAGGATTCGAGGTTTCTTTGTTTAAAACAATTAATATTTGCGTTTTATTAATTTAATTCTGTTGTTTTCTGAAGCGGTGTGATAACAGATGTTTTTTCGCTGCCCTGGCCCAGAATGACGAACTTTAAAGAAGCACGAAGCGCTCAAACTTCACGGTTAAATAATTGTTCTCCAGTGTCAACTCGTTGCATGCATTTATTCCCAAAGCTCCTGGTTGTGGCTTATTAAGACGATAATAAACCAGAACGTTGGAATCTAACTTAATCTACTAATGAAACACGGTTTATTATTTAGATTTTATCCTGCAGGACAGATCGTTGTCCTCTTTTTTGGTGGAGGCTGATGAAAAAGTGGCTCATAAATAACATGCATGTTTTTGTTCTACCAGAAATCTCACCAGAATTTTTGTTCCTGCGCAAACTCAAAGAAACCTCATTTCTGCTGCTGCGCACTGGCGTCTCTGCGCCACCATGAATACTGAACTGGAGCCCAAACTGTATTGTCCCCCTTCAGGGGTCAGGGGAATGACCTCTCTGGACAAAGAGGCCTTCACACAGACCATCACAGTCCCAGCTCTACAGGTTCCCACTGGGGTCCTTAATAAAGTAGTGAAGAGCCTAAAGAAGTCCACCATCCAGCGCCCAGGTGTACCCAAAATAGTTCAAGACAAAGAAGGAAATGCTGACTTTCGTTTAGTTCTGTTGGACCCCCACAGAGTGTCCTCCATCAGCTCCTTGAGTGAGGCTGAAGCAGAGGCCCTCAGGGCGTTTGGTGTTTCAGAGGAGCTACAAGACTATGAGGTGAAGCTGACTTATGACAACCTGAAGAGTGAAGAAGTGCTGGAGGCGGTGCTTCCTCAGGGTCAGGATGTGACCTCAGGGTTCAGCCGGGTGGGACACATCGCACACATGAATCTAAGAGACCACCAGCTCCCGTTCAAAAACCTCATAGGTGAGACAAAAACATAAAAAAAGGCTTAGAAATGAATGTGAGAACTTTAGATTGATAGTTTTTTTTAATAGCTGTCACAAATAATAGAAATATTTTCAGGACACATTTTTGTCATTTTTATATTTGATTCTATCACTTTTAAGCTTCTCCAGTGACTGCTTTAAAACCTTTAGATAAATAAACATTGATTGAATATTTTGCAGGTTACATAGAAAAGTGTTAGTATCTGACAAATTTTCCATTTTAGGTCAAGTAATTATGGATAAAAATCCCGGAGTCACCTGCGTGGTCAATAAGACAAACATCATCGATTCAACTTACCGTAACTTCTGTATGGAGGTGCTGGCTGGAGAGGAAAACATGGTCGCCAAAGTAGGTGTAAACAATCAGCCGTTACATTATGACCACCCTAACTTCAGTGAGAATCATGGAAAAAGAAATCAACTCTTTGTATCACTGTATCCCATTCAACTGTGTTGGTCGTGCTCTGTTTATGAATGTTTGCTTTCAGAACTTTGATCAGCGTTTCTCATACCTCTGTTTGCCCGATGCAGGTGAAGGAAAACGGGGTGATGTACGAGTTTGATTTTTCTCGTGTTTACTGGAACCCCCGGCTGAGCACAGAGCACCAACGTGTTGTGCAGCTCTTTAAACGAGGCGACGCCGTGTTTGACGTGTTTGCTGGCGTTGGACCCTTTGCCGTCCCAGCCGCCCGTTTGGGTGCCAACATTTGGGCCAACGATCTCAACCCAGAGTCGTACAAATGGCTGCAGCACAACTGCAAACTCAATAAGGTGGAGAGCAAAGTCCAAACCTTTAATCTGGATGGCCGAGCCTTTATCCAGGGGCCTTTAAAGCAGGAGCTTTGCACTCTGCTGAAGGGAGAAACTAGTGTTCATGTGGTGATGAACCTGCCTGCATTGGCCCTGGAGTTCCTGGATGCATTCAGAGGCCTCCTGCAGCTGGAACCTGCATGTGAGCAGAACCTCCCCACAGTGCACTGTTATGCCTTCTCCAAAGAAGATGACCCTGCAGCAGACGTGGTGTTGAGGGCTTCCCGCAGCCTCGGCTTCCCTCTGGAGAACCAGTGCTCCGTGCATTTTGTGCGCAATGTAGCACCTAACAAAGACATGATGTGTATACGATTCAGGATCCCAAAAGAGGTCCTCTTCTGCAGGAATGAAGAAAAAACTGGTAATTAATGTTTTCTTTTATCTTGAGAAATCTGTAGAAGATGCATACATTACTTTAATCCTATATTTTTGTTTTTGATTTTAAAGATAGGAGAAATTAAAGCATACAATTTTATTTGCTTGTCACAATGTAAAATTTACACTATTTTCATGTAATTTGGAGCATGGAAACAAACTTCTCACTCATAAAGGATGTTTTTTCTAGTAAATTTATGTCCCCTTTTCTCATTAGGCCACCTACCTAAACATAGCTGCCTGATTATTTAAAGGGACTATAAGGAAGTTTGACAGCCAAAACATGTATAGAAATAATAAATTTCTTCTTCATACATTCTCCTGCAATGCCCTGGTCCTGTAGAATGAGCCCTGGCATTTTTACTGTGATTGCCTGTTTTTCTATGAAATCACAGAAAAAGAGAGCTGCTCGGGTCGAACAGGCTGCTTCATGCGCGTTCACGCTCAGGCATCGCCCGTAGCATTTGCTATCCGTAGATTTAGCAGCAGAGAGAGGCAGTGCCAACTCAGCGACTTTGTCGCTGTTCCTAACGCCTAGTGATGAACCTAGCTACATTTCTGAGGACACTTAGCTACTTTCTGTAGAACTTTCTTCTAGATATTTCCTGCAAATTGGCAACAAAATAGCCATTTTCGCTCCGAACCGTTCTTTGGTTTGACGTTGTTTCAGGTGTCTTCAAGGATATAAAAGTTACCAACACATTCTCACTCCCAGCGCATCAAAAACAAACGCTTGGTCAGCCACCCTCTACGTCAGACCCCTGACGCCAAAAGTGCCCCTTTTCGTAACTTATGTGCGAAAAGGGTTTTTTCCCTTTTGTAACTGCAGATCCAATGCAGCGTAAAACTGACGTGATGAGATATCCGCTGATGCGGCACAGAACCAGCTCATTTAACCGCACCTAAACCTTAACGTTTCACTATTTATAACCTTCCCCTCTCCCTCATCCTAACCTTAACCCTCTTGCTACCTAAGACGTTACTCTCACTGTGATCAAGCGTTTGTTTCCCATGCATTCTGACTGTGAATTTTCGTATTTGCCGCCCAAGGGGAACGTTAGAACATACCATCTGGCGAGGGGGAGGTTACAAATGCCCTCTACTTTTAACCTCCACCGTGGTAGTTGAAACCTCCCCCTCGCGTTGGCTCGGTCCAAACTCGACCAATGACGAGGCGGCTCCCGCCGTTCACTTCATAGAGCCGGCTTTTAGAGCGACCTACACATCACTAACGTGTTCGCTAGCAAGATGGTTAAGGTTAGGATAGGGTGAAGGGAAGGTTAAATAAGAGGATAAGGTTAGGTGAGGTACAATGAGCTTGTTTGGTGCCCTGGCTGCGGACATCCCATGGCGTCAGTGTATCGCTGCATTGGGATCTGCAGTCAAATAAGGGAAAAACCCCGTTTCGCACATAAGTGACGAAAAAGGGCACTTTTGGCGTCAAGGGTCTGACGCGGAGTGGCTGACCAAGCGTTTGCTTTTGACGCGCTGGGAGTGAGAATGTGTTGAAGTTACAGATACTGTGAATGCTACTAGAGTGTAGCTCACCTTGTAAGATGTCTGACTCCCATGCAGAATACCTGGATTCGATTCTGGATGTGAACATAGTTCATTTAGTTTCTTTTTTACATTAATGGTATATTTTTTTACAGTAAGATGCCCAAATTTTTATTTGAGACTCGCTGAACGGCATTGCATTCACAGATAAAAAAGATGTGGGTTCAACTTTCATTTTGGAATGATTTTTCAAGCAAGGGAAGGGAATGATCAGAGCATGCAGGAGGACAGACCCATCTTAAACCTTTGTCGGCTGTGCTGAAGAGAAAGGTACAGAACCAAATTATTTAATTAATTAGCTGCGCGTTCTCCTGTCCTCTGGGCCACACACACACACAAGGGACTGTCTCAGCTGTTATTTTCGTTGAGTGTGCACGTACAGCATGCGCGCCTCGTGCACGAGCCTACTATTGAAGCTGCCGTTACGCATTTGGCCTGGGGGGCAATCGCGAGCATAAAAATTCAAAAGTCCGTAAAGTCCCTTTAATCAAAATCAGTTTGAATCTTTTCAGCCAACATTTAAAAGAACTATTCAGATGGTCTTGGCAGTGAACATTTTACTGCCCGTTTATATCATTTCCCGTTAGACGTGTCTTCATCTAAACTTGAATTGGATTTTGTAATGTTTTGTACAGGATGTGGTTATTTTATTGAAAATGCAGATGTTTTAGAGCTATTTTTCCACATTTAGGGTGTAAAACATTATTTTGTTTTAAACTGTGTGTGTGTGTGTGTGTGTGTGTTTTTTCTCTCACAGAACCCACAGAAGAGCCAGCCCCGAAGAGACAAAAGTGTGACAAATCCACAGATTCAACATGATGAACCTTTGGGGTTCTTCACAAAGAATTATGACTCCGCTTTAGTTCAGCCGCACTAAAATCTGATAAAAATGATAATGCTGGGTTCCAACATGTGCATGTTTAATTTTTAAATAAATCTCAAATCAGAAAGAGTTTTTTATTTAACGAAAAATATAAACTTCGCATAAACATGTTGATAAAACAGCAGGAGAGCTGCTTCTAAAGTCTGTGAGGAGCGGCTGTGACTCGATTCAGCCTTTGGAAGGAAACAGTCCGCTGAAAGCGTCCTGGATGGCTCGATGACACGCCAACGCTGAGGTGTATCCTCCAGCTGCTTCCTGAAGCGTGGTGGTCCGTACGTGGTTCAGATACCTGAGAACACACAAGGATTTGCTCAGGTGAGATGTTTAGTTCACTTTCTTGAGAGATGGTTTTAGTGGAAATCTAATGGGTGAAATACAAACATGTTTATTAAATCCACATTTTTAAAATCTTTTCCTTTATTATTTTTTTTTCTTGGATGTTTTAGTGAAATAAATAGTTCTTAAAAGCTTCATCAAGAGGTGCTTTATTTTGTAGGAGCTTACAGGTTCTAAACAAAACCAAGAATCACAATTTTCAGGTTTGTGTGCAGACTTTAATCGTTAGAAGCTCAAGCAAATCTGGCTTTCTTATTAACACTGCCTCCATCTGGATCTCCTGTCTGCCACTGTCCTCACGAATCGGTCTGAAGCCCTCACACAAGTCTGACTTTGCAGCCCCTGTTCCTGTGAGCTGGGGAAACTTCAAAGGGAAACGAGCATCAAGAGCACAGACAGCACTTTGTGATTTCTGAGGCCATTCAAGCTTTTTCACCACGTAACCCAACACCTGTGGGGAGGCTCGGAGAGACCGGCAGAGCTGAGGTAGGATGTGAATCGATGACAGAGGAAAATAGGTGTTGCTGAGGCGCTGTTGCCCGTGAGCTGCTTTGTTTTTGTAACCCAATTAAAAAACCTCCGCTTAAAAATGAGAGAATACAAACCAAGATCTTCAGGATAAGATGTGAGAGAACAGATCGGACACCTCATCAGCCACTAGAGAAACAACGCACAAGTTCAAAACAGGAGGCCCAGTGATTAATAATAACTTCATTAGGGCTGAGCTGCTGTAGCCTGTCCTTCAGAGCACTTGAGGGAGGTCTTCTCATATGGCTTCCTGCATCAGATGAGTGCTATCTATTGATTATATTGTACTCGGCCCTTTTTAATGGTGAAAAAAAAGTGGGCTATTTTACGGCCTGGCTAAGTCTGCTCTTCCTGCTAATCTAATCCCAAGCTACTCATGTGGTCATTCCTTCCAAGAAAGCTGAGAGCTCTGTGTAACTTTATACCTGCCTGCCCCTGAGGAGAGAGAGAGCATGAAGGAGAGGGAGGAAGAGGCTGTAGTTGTGGGGGGCTGGGATGTGGAAAGAGGAGGGGGTATTGAAGGTGAAATCAACTTTCTGATTTCATCACAAACCCTCATCCCTCATAACCAACCCTGTCCATCCGCCGCTCAACCCTGATACGCTCGCGGGTTAGTTCAGTTCTACTCCATTAACTCGGCGCCTTGTGTCCACGTCTTCCTGTAAAAGACATCCTCACGATGTCTACGGAGCTGAAGAATTCACACCTGTTCGCACACTCCGTCCCAGAGGATAAAACAAGCTGCAAAAGTCGCCCTCCTGAAATCGATGAATCATCTCCCTCGTGGACACCGTACCCTCCCTGCCCAACCAGCCACCCCTCCATCCCCTCGTCTCTCCCCTTCCCTCCTCTGGACAACCTTTTGTTCGCGGGGCGCTGAAACCCAAGACGTTTTGGCCGGTTACATCCTTCACTCTCCGGGCCCCATTGGAGCATTAGCTGCAACTTGATATGGGTCTTTTTCAAAGCTTTGTATTATTGGGTAAATATGGGTCACTTTGCAATGGCCCATTATGTTGCTGGGGGGGGGCTGGAAGAGACGAGTGCAGGTGAT